ATTGGTGCAGTGTCCTGCATGTGGAGTGCGTCAGCAATGTTCAACGTAGTGCCGAACCCATGCCAGTTCGAAACCAGCTTTGTGGGCCAGTTGCCACTCTTGACCGATGGTTCTTTCTTAGCTCGGCACGCAGGGGTAATGCCCGGGAGCTGCTTCATGCTCCGTGCCATGTCGGCTATAAGATCCTGTGCCGGTGGTAGCGATTTCTGTGGTGGAGGCGGTGGTTGGAAAGAATACGGTTCTTCCGAGACCCGTGCACGGTGCGCCCTAGTAGTCGGGCCAGTGGTTTGTTGCTGTTCTGCACCAGACGTCCTTTGGCGTTTCTGGTGCGGGCCGCCCCTAGTACGCGTGCGGCGGCCACTAGGGACTTTCGTGGCATCTTCTCCACCCGTGTTGCCGTGATCCGACTCGGCATCTACCTCAACTAAGTCATCCTCCTCCTCGTCTCCAACGTTCACAGGGTCGTCCGGCTGGCCCGTTGGCATTTCTAGTCGCTAGTGGAGAAAGCTGGTGAGCGGTAAGGTAACGGCAACGAAGGAGTAAAGCGTGCTGTCTTGGCGGGCCTCAAGGTCGGAATCTTGTGAACAACGGCTAGAGGAACTGCTACTGCGAGGTGGTTCGGAAACGGACTGGTGAAAATATAAACAGCGAATGCAGGACGGTCGGTATAAGACATCAGGTAATGAGCAAGAATGACAATCAATACGAGTGCGGGTGAACGGGGTTGTCGAATCACGTGCAAGAGCTGCCCTCGCTTTTGAGATTTGCGTGCTGAACACGGCGAGCACTGAATGGCTGGATGTCGGGACTCGAACGTTGTGTTATCCTGTTGGGGACCGCACGGGCTGTGCTGGCGTATCCTCGTTCGCTCATGCTCGCGGTCTGTTTATTAGCGAATCGATGTTGAACACTGCGACAAGCATGCGAGAGCAAACCCTGATGGGTGACCTTGGAAGGTGAGAATCACACGCGGGGATTCCGATTCTTGCCAAGTGGCGCGCAGCTGGCATGTACATGAACGTTGTCGATAAAAACCGGATCGGACATGATGCGATGTAATTACCACGTAGGTAGTTTCACGCATGGTGTTAATGAGCACCCGTAGCAACCTGGCCATCGTACTACGTGGGCAAATTTGTTCATGAACGGCCAGCTGCGATTGGTGCAAATTTTCTAGTTGTGAAATGTCAGGACACATTCAGGCAACGTATCCACGTTGACGTCAGACTGGTGCATGCATGCCGTACAGCGGGAACCTTGTCTGTCATTGTTTCAGCGGGGAATAAGCAACGAAAGTCCAACCACGTGTACAGGTGCGCGCATCGTCACGACAATTAACCGTATTGGTCCGCGTTCGCGCTGCGCATCTTCAATTGCTTATGAACCATGTCGTTTCAAAGACTGCCATTTGGCGCGCACAGGATTCTCGACTGAATGGCGCATTATCGAGCCTAAGCTACGAGATGTAACACGTAGGCTTGGCAACCCAGCACTACGCTGGTTTGGCTCCAACAATGTTGGAGGCTCTCGTTTGGGTTCCTGGCAAAAAGTTCCGACGTGACCGTACACTTACATGTACACTACCACATTGAAGTCAAAATGTCAGGACCGCGTACCGCTCGCGATAGAAGGTGGATGGTGTGTCTTTCGGGTTGTGAAAAAATTTAAGCGCGATGGAAAAAATTCACGAGGGCAAAGCCCGCGCCGCGGCAATTCTCTCCATTTTGCGTTGAAAGTAGTCTTCGGTCAGGCTACCCTGACGCACGTCAAATGTACCCGATATAAGAACCATGTACCGATGTGGAAGAATCACATAACTCCATTATATGTGGGCCTCAATCAAAGAGCTTGCGAAACCACGCTTTGCGGCATTCTGTGTAGTGCGGATATCGTGCCTTGCCTATTACCGAGCCAACACAAAAGCTGACGAAGGTGATGGAGTCGTGACTCGGGCCAAATCAGTTCTCTTCCGAACCTCTCTGCGTGGCAAATGCCTTGCAACTCGAACCAGGCATATGGGTCCAGCTCACGGAACAAGCCAAGTTCAGCGCCCAAAATTAGGTTCGTCAAATCCAAACCAGAACAAGTTTGCACGTCAGCACGCATTTTGCCTTGCGCCAATTTCGCCCCTCCCGTCGTGCACATCAAGGTTGAACCGCATCGCATTCTCGTGCAGAAGAACGAAAGGGGCTCCACATTTGTTAGGTTCAAATCACCCTTTTCTCCGAGTATTGACTGTCGAGGTTTTCCCGGCTGTAGGGCGGACGATTGAAATCCTTCCCAGCATCTACAAATTCGCAACAGCCCCTAAAAACCAGTAAGAAATTCTATTGCGGCTGGTCGTAAGAGTACACTGATGTATTTCTTCGTCAACGTGGAAGTTTTTTCAGCTTCCTCTTGTTTCGGGTAGTTTCAATCTGTTGGTGCACCACGGTTGGTCCACATTTCTTGCGCTCAAACCCGTCACCTCGTTGATCCCACAATCATCGCGCGAGTCGCCTTCAACCACGGGCTACTCATCGTGAGAAGTCGTAGTTCGAGCTCTCATCCTCTGGAGGTGGGAAGTTGGGTGATCGACGAACCCGATAGAACCCAACGAGGTGCCATGGCGCGACGAGTCACCTCGCCAGCAGCAGCAGCAGTTGTAACTAGCAGTGCACGACATGAGGTTGCGAGAGGCATGTTCGAATCGGATAGCAGGCAGAACACTCGTGCTTCCCAAGGCACGACGACCCACTTTCCTACCTCACTTCCTCGGAGAGGGTATGGCACGTTTACTTGTCAGAGAGTTGTTGCGAGAAGCGATGCCGCAAAGTCCCCGAAAGGATTGTAGGGTATCCTGAGGCGCCTGAGAAGTCTAGGATTACGAGAGTTCGCGATGTGCGAGGATGGATGGCGATGACGTGACCGCCTCTTCGCGAATCCTATCCGCGATAACTTTTCGCGTTCCTCTATCTTTTACATAGGATAACGTGGTCGACTTTATCTATTTTGGAACGTAGAGCGGACGTAACGAGTAGGAGGCGTAGGCTCAGCGCACCCAGAAGCCCCCATGAGGGAAGCTAGTGTCTCTGGGACATGGCAGGGACCTCTGACGTAGAGACAGCCCTTGGGAGCAGCCTGCGCAGCGACGTCATATAAGAACTCTAAGTATACGCATATTTTTTTTCCTTACTTGGCTGAGCCGCGTTCATTCGAACAGCTGTAGGACGTCGCCTTGGCTCATGGATACTCGAGTGACTATTAGTCGAACACACTGATAGCTGAGCAATTGCGAATACTAGCGACATGGATACTGCGCTCGGCCACATGATCGCGACGTGGGATCGACTCCGCAGCACCTCCCCCATCCTTAGCGCCAGCCGTCCCCCTCTTTTCCCCGCCCCTCCGCCTGTTGCGCACTTCGCCGACTCCCGTCGGGTGAGCCCCTTGCCTGGAATTAATACGAATAATGATAGTATTAATACGAATACTAGTGGTGCTAATAGTAGTATGAGGCACGCTAGTGTAGAAACGTCTCAAAACGTGAGCTCGTTACCGGGAAGTAATGTTCGCAATACTGGTGATGCTAGTAGCGCCAGGCAGGCGAGTTGGAGCCGTCGCGGTTCGGACCAGCGAGAGGAGGGAGGAAGGAGGTACTTCAACGCTTTAGGCGGGAAAGAGGCTTTGCATGTCCGCGAAGCACGAGACTCGGCGCGTAATAACGGCTCACTAGACGATTCTTCGAGTGGGCGCCACGCTCAAGCCGCGACAGACTTAGCGAGCGATGCTCCTCTGATAGCCAAGTGGCCGTCTGGCCCGCCCGTCAGAAGCGGCGGAAGGTGCGGCGGGGAGAGCGGCGAGAGGGACGGAGGGGGAAATGAGCATAGAAGCAGAGCGGAGAGTAACGGAGAGTTTGCGGCTGGCCAACGGGGAGGCGGCAGCATCGGAGGTGATAAAAGCGAGGGTGATAGAAGCGGAGCGTCCGCGGAGTCGGCGTTTTACCGTGCCATGCCCGACCCTTACGCGCGGCCGCAGCCCCGGCAGCACGGAACGGCGTTTCGCCGAGGCATCGGCGACGGCGCTCGCGACGGCGCTGGCGACGGCGATACTGGTGGTAACCGGGATAACGGCAGGGGTGACAGGGGGGATAACGGTGGCTATAACAGCGTGATTAACGGCGCCAATAAAGTCGGGAATAACGGCCGCAACATCGGGGGAAATAAAGAGGGGAATTTCGGCGGCAATAACGGGGGGAATAAATGCGGGAATAATGGCGGTAACAACAGCGCCAATCACGGCATAAGTACCAGCACCGCAAATGATGGAAGAAGGTGCGTGGGTACGGACCTCCCGATTGAACCCGCGGGGCAAAACCCAAGGTTCCTGGGAGCAAGAGATACCCTGATGATGGAAGGCGGCAGCCGGCAGAACAGCCTGGGGAGCGGCCGGCAAGTTGAGCAGTCGACGGCAGAGATGACGACTAGCCGTCAAGCAGGCGTCCGGCCGGTTTATGTGTTCACAGAAAGTGGATGGAAGCCGGTAGAAGAGGTGGGAGGTGGGATTGGTAGGGGGAGTGTGGGGGTGGGACGGGGAGCTGGGAGGGGGGCGGGGAGGGGGATGGGGAGGGGTGCGGGGACAGGGGCGGGGACAGGGGTGGGGAGGGGGGTTGGAGAGACGGGAGGCGGAAGAAACGCGTTCGGTGGGGGATGGGGGAGAGGAGTCGGGGGAGGGCGGGGGATCGGGGCGGGGGAAGCGCGGAGGGGCATCGGGGCAACGAGAGGAGAAGCAGCAAGAAGAGGAGGGGAAGGGGCAACGTCAGCTTACGATCACACTTCTTCTCCTCTTTGCTCGAACGCTCCTGTTCTGGAGGAGATGGGAATGGCGGTGGGAGAAGGGGGGAAAGGGGGAGGGGAGGAGATGGGGAAAGAGGATGAGGAAGAGGAGGAGATGGAGGAGATTGAGATGGAACAACCGCCGCTGCTGTCTAGTGCCTGGAGAGGGATTGGAAGAGGGAATGGTTACTTGGGTTTGAGAGAAGTACCAGCTGCAGCAGCAAGAGAAGCAGCAGCAGGAGCAGCAGCAGCAGCAGCGTCGGTTGCATCACCAGCAATACCCGCAGCAGCGAGAGCAGCAGCAGCAGCAGCAGCAGCTGGATCGGCTTCAAAATCAGCAGCGAGAGCAGCAGCAGCAGGAACAGCAGCAAAGCCAGCAGCAGCATCAGCAGCAGCAGCAGCAGCAGCATCAGCAGCAGCAGCAGCAGCAGCATCAGCAGCAGCAGCAGCAGCAGCATCAGCATCAGCAGCAGTAGCAGCAGCAGCAGCAGCAGCAGTAGCAGGAGTATCAATCAAAACGCACAGGTTCACGCCCAGGATACTATCACCCGTGCACGCTGGCCGAAACCCCCTGGCCTCGCCTAAAGCAGCCAGTGGTAACCATGCGAGGCAATGGACGTCAGCTGGTAACCACGTGCGCGAAGCTCGTTCATGTGGTAACCACTTGCAAGAAACTGCCCCCAGTGGTAAGATTGCGAGGCAAAACGGGGGGATTAACGGGAGGGGGGATGATGAGGAGGTAAGCAGAGTGGTTCAGTCACTTGAGGAGGCTGGGAATAACAGCACGGAGGAGGAAGAGGCAAGGCGGGAAGGTGAATTCGGTAGTAACCTGGGGAGGCAAAACGGAGGCACCGGGAGAGGAGAGGTGGTGAGCAGAGTTCAGGTTGGGAACAACAGAGCATTGGAGGAGGAGCGGTGGTGCAAGAAGGAGGACGAAGAGGAGGAGGAAGAGCAGCGTTGGTGCAAGGCACAGGAAGCGAGACTAGCGGCCTTAACCGGAAGCCTTGACGTTGCCCAACCCCGTGATCACCTTCCGCTCCTCCAGCAGAGGGAGGAGGAAGAGGAGGAGAGAGAGGGGTGGTGGTGCAAGGAGGAGGAGGAGGAGCAGCGGTGCAGGGAAGAGGAGGAGCGCCGGCTCAAGGAGGAGGAGGAAGAGGAGGAGCAGCGGTGGTGCAGGGCACAGGAGGCCAGACTACCAGCCCTAGCCAAAAGCCTTGACGAACCTTTTAACGAACCTCTAGACGAACCTTTTGACGACGTCTGGGACCCGCACGGCCTGTATGCACACCAGAGGTCGCCTGGAGGCTCGTATGCTAACCCTGCCGCTGCCACTCCTGCTTCTGGTCACTTCGCCCCCGGCTGCGCCCATGCTTCCAGTGATACGGCCAGCAGCAGCAGCAGTAGAACAAGAGGAGGCAGAGGAAGGACGAGAGTCTTACAACAGAGCAGCCTACACCCCTCGGCTGGTGCTGTGGCTGTGGAGGGCTATGACAGAGGCTCCGTACCCCGTGCTGTGTCAACAAGTAGCAGGAGCAGCGGCAGCAGTGACATTGGCAGAGGCAGACTAAGGGGGAGGAGAGGTCTACATGAGAGCAATGGCTTACTACAAGCATCGGCCGGCGCAGTGGCAATGGATATGGAGGACCATAGCAGAGGCTCTATCCCGCGTGATTCTTCTATCAGCAGTGGCGGCGGCGGCAGAAGTAGTGGCAGAGGCAGCAGCAGCAGTCGTCGTGCTATAGCGATTAGCAGCAACAGCAGAGGCTCGAATCTGTGTGTCGCTTCTACAGGTGGGGATTCTGGCAGGAATGGTGGTAGCAAGGGGAGTGGCGACGGGTGTAGTGCCGTTGACAGTAGCGGTAATTCCAGGGCCAACAACGGTGCGAGTTATGATAGTGGTGGTTACCAGAGTGGTTACCAGGGTGGTTACCAAGCTGGTTACGACGGTGGTAACCACATTGGTGACTGTGGTGATAACTGGGAGAGGATCTGTAGCAGCAGCAGCAGGGACAGAGGCAGTGTGAGCAGGGGAGAAGCGCTTGCGCGAGGGAACAGGGGAGGAGCGAGTATGAGTGAGGAGGATGATTGGGGGAACAACGGGCGAATGATTTCTAGCAGCAGGAGCAGGGAGAGAGGCAGTGTGAGCAGGGGAGAGGCCCCAGAAACAGGCAGCAGGGGAGGTGGGAGCATGGGTAGGGAGGGTGGGAGTATGAGCAGGCAAAGTGGGAGTATGAACAAGGGTGTTGAACAGGGGAGCAGCAGCACGAGGAGCAGTGATAGCAGTGGCAATGCTATCAGGAGCAGTGCTAGCAGCAGCATGAGAGGTAACGTTCTCAGGAGCACCGGTAACAGCAATAGCACCGACAATGGAGGGGAAGGCAGCATAAAAGGCAACGTTAGCAGGAGCAGTGGTAACAGCAACAGCACAGGCAACGGAAGGGGAGACAGCAGTAGCAGTGGCGGCAGGAACGGTGGTGACCTGTACACAAGTAACACGATTGGTAACACAAGGAGTGGTAACACAAACAGTGGTAACATGAGGAGTGGTAACAGGAGCAGTGGCAACGGCAACAGCGACAGCAGCGATGGTAGCAGCAGCCGACGCAGCAGAGGAAGCAGCAGCAGCAAGAGCCAGAGCAGCGGAACGTCTAGGTCAAGAGGCATCACCAGCAGACGGGTTGCTCTCCCCTCTCCTGCCTCCTCCTGTGCCTCCTCTCTTTCCTCTCCCTCCTCCCCCTCGTCTCCCTCCATCCCCTCCTCTCCCTCTTCCCCCTCTCCCCTCTCTCCCTCCGCCCCCTCCCCCGTCCCTCCTCCCTGCCCTCCTTCCGCTCATGCTGCGCCTCCCCCCTGCCTCTCCCCCACTCCTTCCGCCTCCGGCCCCCGAGCCTCCCCCCAGACCTCCCACCAAACCTCTTTCCGAGCCTCTTCATCCGGTTCTCCCAGCGCTTCTCCCAGAGTCAGGTCTGGCAGGTCCGCCTCTTCAGGCTCGCCATTCCCCCGAGCCTACGCATCCGGTTTGGCAAGATCTCCCAAGCAGGTTCGGCCCAGCAGAAGCGCCACCAGCAGCAGCAGGGGAAGAAGCACCCGCAGCAGAGGAAGCAGCAGGAAAGGTGGTAACTCTGAGGTGGTTACAAGCAGGAAGCAAAGCAAGACCCAAAGCAGCAGCACTGAATTTCCCCCCGCAGCCGTACCTTGTTCCTCTGATCTTTCTTCTGCCGCCCCCGGACCTCTTTCCGAGCCTGTCGCCCACCCAGGCCGCACCGAACCCGATCCATCATCCCCAGCGGCTTCCAAGGCTGTGGCTCGGGTTTGGGCTCCTGCCGAGCCTCAAGCGGCGGTCATAGTGGGAGATTGCAAGGTTCCCGAACCTAGACCATCCGAGCCTGAACCTCCACGTTCCCAGCCTCAGCATGGTTCTCCGATTGCCGAACCTGCAGCTCCAGACGCTTCCCCCTCTTCCTCACCTCTCCCCAACTCTTCTCCTTCCTCTCTTGCACTCACTCCTCTTCCCCCTCTCTCCCCACTGCCGCCGTTTTGGCCTGTCTCCCCCTCTTCGTCCCCTCGTTCTCCTTCTGCCTTCTCTTCCCCCTCTCGCTCCCCCTCTCCTTCCCCTTCCACCCCCGTCCCCCCGACCTCCCCCATTGAAAGGAGAAAAGCAGCAGCAGCCGCCGCAGCTAGACGGAAAGCCATTGCTTCTGGTTTGGTGCCTGCTGGTTCAATCACATGCTCGGTTCCTGGTCCGGTTTCCAGCAAGGATGGTCAAGTTGTAACATCACGTTTAAAGGAGGCAGGAGCAGATGAGGAGAGCGAAGGGGGGAGTGTAGGTGGGAGTAGTAGCCGCAGCAGAAGGAGGGAGGGAGAGAGCAAGATTGGCAGAGCGGGCAGTGACAGCTGCAGCAGTAGCAGGAGCAGTAGCAGTGGGAACAGGGGGAGCAGCAAGGGAAGCAGGAGCAGCAGCAGAAGGAAGAGCAGGGAAAATAGGGAAGATGGTAGTGCAATCAGTGATTGCAGCAGCAGCAGCGGCGGCAACAGCAGAAGCAAGAATGGTGAAGCGGGAGCAGGAGAAAAGGGAGAAAGGGATGGGGGAATTGTGGAGGGAAGAAACGAGGTGCGGAGGGAAGAGAAAGCTGCAGAAGCTGCGGCAACGGCGGTAGTAGTAGGGGCAGCAGCAGCAGCAACAGCAACTGCAACAGCAGCAGCAGGAGCAGCATCAGTGGCAGCAGGTGCATCAGGAGCAGCAACTGGCGCAGCAGCAGCAGCCATGCCGCATCCCCAACCCGTGATGACGTCAGCATCTCCATCTCATGGCATCACGATGACGTCAGCAGCACCATCTCACAGCACCATGATGACGTCAGCATCGCCATCTGCTACATCGCCATCCAAGCCAGCCGGGATGGTGGGGGCGGGAATGGTGGGAGCGGGAATGGTGGGGGCGGGGATGGTGGGTCTGGCCGGCATGACAGCTGGCATGGGTCAGCAGCAGCATCCCATGATGACGTCAGCAGAGCAACCCACGCTGACGTCATCAGGCAACCTGGTGGCAACTGCCATGAAGCTTCCTCCGCCGCCTCCCGCGTTTTTTAATACCGCCGATGGTACTGTAGTGTACAGTAATAGCAGTAATAATTACAGTACTAACAATATCACCAACAGTGTACAGTACTGCAATGGTCAACAGGGGCTACAGGGTTTGCAAAGCAATTATGCGCGGGTCAATACGGTGGAGAACGGTGGCGGCAGCTTACAGCACACAGGTCTGCAGCAGCGGAATGGGGGTTCGATCCTGCCTGGTGGATTGATGCAGTCAGCCGGGCACATGGGGGTGATGACGTCAGCAGGCCAACACATGATGACGTCACCTGCTCATACTCCTTCTAGACTCACCCCTCTCATGCCTACCCACTCACTCTCCCCCTCACACCCTCTCTCCCCCTCTCACCCCCACTCTCCCACTCGCTCACTCTCCGCAACACACCCCCTCTCCCCTTCTCCGTACACCATGGTGACGTCACCATCTGACTCGATGCTGACGTCATCCGTGGCAGCATCAGGCATGGCCTATCCCTCAGCCACCATACCATACGCATCCACTGATGCTCTACCATCCATGTCCATGCCCTCTCACCAATCTATGGCCTCGCAACAACCCATGCCGTCACAACAGCAATCCATGTCTATACCCTCTCAACAACTACCCATGGCCTCACAACCATCCATGCAGCAGCAAACTCTAGGCATGGTTGTTCCTCCAACCCCCCCAACCTTCCCCACACACTCTCTAACCATCTCAATTCCTTCAACCCCATCACCCTCATCACCCACATCTCCCAATTCTCATTCTCCCTTTAAGGGGTCTCTCCAGAGTCATCCCTCAGGGGCTTTAAGCTCATCCTTCCCACAGATGAATGTACATATCGCCTCCTCCCCTCAGGGGAGTAGCGGTGTGCATATCGCTTCCTCCTCCCATCCATCCTCTCACCTCTCCTCCCAGCCTTCCTCCCCCATGCATGCACATTCAGCGTTTAGCCCCCCCATGGCTTATGGCACCATGCATTCACATGCCATCAATAGCACCATAGCCAGCGCAGGCAGCAGCAACAACAGCAGCATGCTGGTTACATCTCCTAACAGCAGCAGTAACCCCATGCATGCACCCATGCACGCACCCACGCATTCACCCATGCATGCATGCGCCATCAATAGCACCATAGCCAGCGCAGGTAGCAGCAACAACAGCGGCTTTAACAGCAGCATACTGGCTAGCGCTCCCAACAGTATGCTGGTTAGTGCTCCCACTAGCATGACCATGCTGACGTCAGCAAACCATGGCATGCCCTCAGTGATGACGTCATCGACGCAGGTTCAGCGGGATTCGGTGACGTCAGGAGGATATGGGGGTGGGACGGTGGTGGCTGTGGGGGGTGGAGAGAGGGAGGGGCGGCAGCAGCAGGTTGTGCGTGGTGCTGAAATGGGTGAGCAGCAGCAGCAGCAGCAGCAGGGGAGGGGGACGACGACGACAACAGTTACTAGCATAAACCCCATGATCCCTCCTAGAATAATTGCTGCTATTTACTCTAAAATACCCGAGGGTATTTCCCCTGAGCTGCAACAGCAGTGGGTGGAGCAGCAGCAGCAGTCTTACTTGCTTCACCAGCAGCAGAAGCACCAGCGACGGCAGCAGCAGGAGCAGCAACGGCAGCAGCAGGAGAGGGAAAGGCAGTTACAGGAAGAGATTTTGCAGCAGCGGAGAGCAGAGGAGAGGGAGAGAGAAAGGGAGAGAGAAATGGAGAGGGAAAGGGAGAGGGAGAGGGAGAGGGAAATGGAGAGGGAGAGGAGGGAGAGGGAAAGGGAGAGGGAGAGGGAAAGAATGGAGAGGGAGAGGGAGCGGGAAAGGGAGCAGGAGAGGGAGAGGGAGAGGGAGAGAGAGATGGAGAGGGAGAGAAAGAGAGAAGCAGAGAGGGAGAGGGAGAGGCGGAGGAAGCAGATGCAGGAGCAGAAGCCTTTGGCAGTGGTGATGCTGATGCAGTCAATGGGAGCACGCAAGAAGAGCGAGAGCAGGGATGGAGGAAGGGCGGGAGGAGGGGGCGGAGGAGCGATGGGAGCAGATGAATGGGACGGCTCTTCCCCTGCCCGTCAACGTGGCCAGTGCAGGGACTCGGATTACGTAAGACTCTGCTCCTTTTCATCGCTCCTCATCTTTTAACTTCTTTTGTGTTGGAGCTTCTCTGATCAGAAAGGGATGGATGGATCCATGGCACCATGGCACGTAGGTTGGCCTGGAAGAGTCCTCTGTTTGACTCTTCTTTGCAGGTTCCTTGAAAGTTCTCTGCGCCTTCTCTTCAGCTTCCTGGTTCTGCAGCTTCGTTGCAGCTTCTCTGAAGCATGCTGCATAGAAGTGGGTGGGAAGCAGTTGGATTGACTCAAGAGGCACTGAATCCGCACTCAGAAGATGTCACTTTTGACAAAGGGATGCAAAGTAGGGAGGACTCTTTGAGCAGAGCAGAGGAGGGAGTATTCCCCCATTCCCCCATTCCCCTGGGTTTCAATTCCTTCATTAACCCCTGCCCGCTTTTGACGTGCCTTTTGAGTCGACTCAAAAGGAGGGGGTGTTGATCAAGCCGAGCAAAGGAGGGGGTATTCCTCTGATCATTCCCCTGGGTTTCAATTCCCGCCCTCTTTCCCCCCTGGCTTCTCTCCCCCTTCCCCCCCTGCAGGTTGCCTGCCGTGCAAGCCTCTGCGGCGCTCCCAGCCGTCGGGGCAGCTGCCTCATTCCCCCGTACCCATGCACATGCCTGTGCTCATTCATTCCCCCTCAATTCCCAACTCCCCACCCCCCCTCCCCCCTGCAGGTTCCTTGTCACTCGAGCCTCTGCGGTGCTCCCAGCCGCCGGGGCAGCTCGAGGGAAGCGCAGCAGCCCAGACAGGCAGGATATGGCGGCAGCACGGCAGGGCATGGCATCAGCACTGCATATGGCGGCAGCATGGCAGCACAGAGGGCAGTGCTGCTGAGGGAACAGTCAGAATCTGATTTGCTACGGCAGCACATGCAGCAGCAGCAGGTGTTGCATCAGCAAATTCAGCAGCAGCAACAAATGCACCAGCAGCAGGTGTTACAGCAACAAATGGAGCAGCGGCAAATGCAGCAACAGCAAATGCAGCAGCAGCAAATGCAGGAGCAACATCAGCAAATGCAGCAGCAGATGATGCAGCACCAGCAAATGCCACAGCACGTGGTGTTACAAGGGCGAACGCCACAGCACATGTTACACATGCAGCCGCAACAGCTGTTACCACAACAGCAGATGCTACACCCAACCCAACAGTTACCGCAACATCAAGTGTTACACCTAACTCAGCGGTTACAGCAGCAGCAAACAGCCTATGAGGTCTCACAGGTGCATCATCCTCAGATGTTGTCACGCCATGGCATACCCGAGTATGGGCTCCCGCAATGCCAGTCATTGCATTTAACTGGTGACAGCTGGGCCAGATAAACATATGGTGGCAGCAGACAGCCTATGAGGTCTCACAGATGCATCATCCTCACACAACGGCATACCACAGTATGAGCTACCTCAATACCAGTCATTGCATTTACCTGGCATCAGCTGGGCCAGATCAAGCTACACGTACCTGCACCTGTGCCTTGGTGCTCTGTTTCTCTATGTTGTTTTGTACATGTGTATCCATTGATGTACTATACAAATAACATCATATAATAGTAATGGGCATACAACAGTACCCCAAATCATGGATTCCCGAAAGTGCCGCACCAATATTCGCATCAAAGCTCAGTAACTTGAGGCATCATCTCATACTATATCTAGGGGAACTGCGAGTGGACTTGGGATTAGCAATAAAACATAATGATTCACCAGGCGCCTGGATAGTGTAAGCTACGGTAATATCCACTTGCCATTCCATGTCTTTCAAGACGCAGCCCATCGCCCACACGATTGCCCTTGCATCAGCCGGAAGCAGCAAGGTGAATGGAAAGTGGAGGGAATGGCTCAATAGGGTGAAGGACAGTACATGTACAAGGATGGGGTGGGGAGTATGAGGGAAGCAGTGCGGATGAGAAAGGACGAGTCAGAAGCCCTAGCAGGCAGGTGAAATAAGGCTGGAGGGTAACACAATATCTATGCAAGAATTTGTTCCCCACATCGAATTAAGGTGATCAGACAGCATAATTGCGCTGCCCCCAATGGCAACATAAAGGTGATGACGACTCATCCCATAGTTACCAGTTGTCACCTTTTTTTTATGTTTCAACTTTTTGGGTCACCATGACTCGAATGCGCCATGCACATGCCGCACCCGTCTGTCAGTTGTTAGAAGAACGACCATCATGCATGTCACACATGCACTCCCTGCATATCACACTCCCTGCTTGTCACACATACGCTTTCTGCATGTCACACATGCACTCCCTGCATATCACACTCCCTGCTTGTCACACATACGCTTTTTGCATGTCACACACGCACTCCCCGCATATCACACTCCCTGCTTGTCACACATACGCTTTCTGCATGTCACACACGCACTCCCCGCATATCACACTCCCTGCTTGTCACACATACGCTTTCTGCATGTCACACATACACTCCCTGCATCCCACACATCCACTCTCTGCATCTCACACATACACCCCCTGCGTGTCACACATGCAGTATTCTTTGCCAGACGCAGAGCGTGCTGTCCGCATGCTGACACACATGCAGAGCGTGCAGGGCGTGCTGTCCGCATGCTGACACACATGCAGAGCGTGCAGAGCGTGCTGTCAGCATGCTGAATCCGCTCCTCTTGACATGCAGGGTGCGGGGGAGGGAGGAGATGACGCGCCTTAAACATTGATTGTCTTGAGGCGAAAGAAATAACAACAAAGAAAGAAGCAGCAGCGACCCGAGGTTCAGGAACATGCCATTACTCGTTATGTTCGCAATATCAAGCTGAGGGCGTGGGTGCAAGAACGAAGAGAGGGATGAGGGAGGGATGTTGAGAAGGCGGGCGTGGGAAGGGGAGGCAGAAGCCAAACACGAGTTTGCACAGACAGTTTCGGTTCCAACCTCCCACCCCACCCCACCCCACCCCACCCCACCCCACCCCACTCCACCCCACCCCACCCCACCCCACCCCACCCCACCCCACCCCACCCCACTCCACCCCACCCCACCCCACCCTCTCCCCCCATCCCTCCAATCCCCATCCCCCTGTCCCTCCCTGGCAGCCATCGGGGGTGTGACCTGCAGGGCAGCGCGGTTGGCGTTGGTGCGGATGAGTGCGGTTGGCGTTGGGGTGCGGCGGGGTACTCGCGGAGCTTGTCGCGCTTGAGCGGGGCCTTGTCGAGCGTGAGCGGGGCCTTGTCGCGCGTGAGAGGGGCCGTGAGCAGCACGCGCAGCGCCTCGAACGCACCGCCAGCAGCTGCCGCAATGTGATGTCGACCGCACCGCCACGAACGACGAGCTCCGCCTTGCGCCGTTCCGCCTTGCGCGGCTCCGCCGGCTTTGAGAACAGCTGCGCGCACGGGGGGAAGAGGGGTGAGGAGCGGGGGAGGGAGGGGAGGGGAGGGCGGGGAGGGACGGGAGGGAAGGAGGGGGAAGGGAGGAAGTTGGTGGGGAGAACGGGAGGGATTGGGAGTGAGAGCGTGGAGGGATTGGGAGGAGAACATGGAGTTGAAATTTGGATGAGAGGAGGACGTGGGAGGATACGGCGGGCACCAACAGGAATGTGCGTGCGTAACACTGTGGTGAGACAGGTGGAGTAGATGGGGTTGAAGAGTGTTGAAGAAGGTGCTTTTGAAAAGGGGGTTGACAAGGGGGTTGAATCAAACATCACCACCTTCCCTCCTTGCATGAGTTCCTTGCGAACCATTCTGTCAGAGCCGTTCTGCTCGCAGCTAGCCTGCCAGCCTTTCGGCTCTTCCATGCCGTTGCTTCTCCACGTATTTAAGAACGAAATTGATCTCCAGGTATTTACTGCATGGCGGAAGTATGCTTCGTAAACTCACCAGCCACTTGATGCTTGCGACGATACCTTAGTTGATGGATCGCAACGACTAATCGCAGAACACAGCTCTAGCAAGAATGTTCTAGCTTGATCCTCAGATCCAGATCTAGTATGCGCTGTGGACTTAGTAGTCCGTATTGAGTCAAGATATATTTGCCTCGTCAGTTGGAAAACTTGTATATAAAGCACTTCAGAGATACAGAGAAGCGAATCTCTACTCAACTAGAAACTACTTCAACCAGCTACAACTTCTGGTACAATACGAAGGAAGGCCGATCCGCTAGCTGCTGCTCCAAGTCGTGTTGCTCCTTGCAACTTCGTTTGGTACGAAAGCCAAAGACCGATCTTCTGCTGCTGCTCCACTTGACTTGAATCTTCACTTCGAGTCTTCACCCCTCTTGGCCGCTAGAGGCAAAGCCTCTAGCGTTACACCTGAGCACCGCGTTGAGGTGGGGGCTTTTCGCTCAGGACACCTGTTGGAGGGAGGGGGTGGGGTGGGGGCGGGAGGAAGAGAGGGGAGAAAGTAATGGAAATAGTTTTGGGGGGAAATTATGAAAATTACTGCCACGGGCAGAAAACCACCTCAGGTCTCCGGCTGTCAGATGTCAGGCGGCCCGAATCCTCAGATGACCTGCACCTCACCTGACACGCAATTACCAGCTCACCCACCCACCCCATCGAAACCACCCACCCACCCCATCGAAACCACCCACCCATCCCGTCGTAACCAACCCAACCGCGGCATACCGTGCCGGGCTTTTCGCTCCTATCGGGTCTGTTCCATGTCGTCCGTCCGTTCTACACGAGTCTGTCTGTAACGCGTCTGTTCTACTCTAGTGCTTGAAGTCGAGTTGGTGCAGATCCCCGTGTGCTCGTTGTCTCTCAACCTGACACGAGACACTGGAGGAAGATAAGAGAAAAAAAAACGTGAAACGAAACGAAACGAAATGAAACGAAACGAAATGCGAAATGAAACGAAATGCGAAATTCACGAGAGGAAAAGCGACGACGAGACGAAAGAAAAAAAACCACCACAGAGACTCTTCTCCGAGAATTGCCGCCAAACGCCGTGAGTCCCGCCTTCGCCCGCGAAACGCGCCTTGGCACGTGAGACGCGTCTTTCGTCCGTGAGACGCGCCTTTTGCCCGCGAAACGCGCCTCCGCGGCCCTCGAGACACGCCGTTCGGCAATGAGCCGCACCTCATGCGTCCTTCCCCTAACCTCGTGCCTCGTGCCACGCGTCCCCATGCGTCGCCATCCGTCCTCGCCATCCGTACGCCGGCGGACGGTCAGCCTCTGCAAGGAGAAAGAATAAGAACGAAGCCGTTAAGGAGGAGGATAAGAACGAAATAAAACGAATAGGAGCCGCCAGAGGAACAACGCGTTAAACTGCAAGAAACAGCACGTTACCTCAGCTCGTGCGAGGCGCCACTAGTAGTGAATCGCGGAGAGTTCCGTGGGACGGACGAAGTGACGCCAACCGTCGCCGTCCGCTTGTGGCGTCAACCATCACGGTAGAGTCCTCGTAGCATGACGGAAAAACCAACCGCCGCCGGCAGGGAGAAGCGCCATTCGTCGCCATACGTCGCCACACGTCGTCGTATGTCGTGCGCCGTTGAATCTGCAGGAGAAAGTAAATCAACACGTTAGAACGTGGAAAAATCAAATCAGATCAAGGGACTGGATATAAGGTCGAGCGAGGCGCTGCGGGTAGTGAATCAATTTAACAAAACGTACCTCAGTCGAGCGAGGCGCTGCGGGTAGGCCGTCTCCGTCCCCTTGCGTCCCCTCGTGACGTGAGACACGCCGAGTCCTCCTCGCCTTTTCCACGATTGACGTACCACCGGTTTCGCGACCAAGACGGTCGTTCAGTAGAAACAGTCGCCACCTTTGGTCGGCACCAAAACAGTCGTCGAGGTCTGCACGGAGAAAGCAGCACGTTAGTACTATAGACGAGAGGAGATGAAGAGAATGACGGTATAAATGAAGTTAACTAAAAGGTTAAGGTAGACTTCACTCACCAACCCGAATGACGATCATCATGATGATCAATGGCGATCAATCTTGGCGATCAATCTTGGCGACTATCTTGGCGACGATCTTGGCGATGATCTTGGCGACGATCTTGGCGACGATCTTGGCGACGATCTTGGCGACGACATGGCTTCAAGTCGGCAGTTGACAGCGACGTCTTGGCATCAAGGCGGTCGTTCGGCAAAAGCGCTGCTTTCAGTCGCCACACGGTCTGCAGGGAAAAACGGCAGCGCGTTAGTACGAGAAAGGATAAAGATAACAACGGAAAAAGAGCAGAAAAAGAGTCTCGTCCACTCACCTGACCCGAAAGACGATCCATCTTGGCGACGGCCATCCCGGCGGATTTTAAGTCTCGTCGGCGCCTCTTGCGAAGGCTCCAAGGCGATTGAAACCTTCTCTTGCTTCAGGTAAAGTCTTCATGTCCTTAATAGTCTTCGCGTCGGCGCTTTCAAGTCGTCGCGCCACCAATATGGTCGCAAGGATGACCTGCAGGAAGAAATAAGCAGGTTGACTTAGAAAGCTTAAAATAAAACGTAAACGGAGAAAACGGCGAGCTGAATCCAGTCAACTGAGAAGACGAAGATAAGTTACCCCACCTGGACGATAGACGACGGTTGATGGCGAGGCGATCTTGACCCGCGAGGCCTCGCGACTGTCAGCCTTTCAGGTCCTCGCATCCAGAGCTCGAAGCGCCATCGGCGATCTTCACGTTGGGGCTGCGTCCGCTCCGGAGCTTGAATCGCCATTACACTTGAAGCTTGAAGCGCCATTCCGCTTGAAGCTTGGAGCTTCAAGCGCGCGACTGTAAAAGCTCTCATTCGCGTCTTGAAGCTTGACTTGGGTTCTCCGCGGTTGATAGCGACAAGAAGAAGATCGTCTGCAGAGAAAAGTGCAACGAGTTAGAGTTTATTTCTCAGGAACACTGAAAATTTTACCTCGACCGTCTCCGTGTTGGTGACGGGGGGAAACGGCAGCGACTTCTATTGGCGAGAAATTGAAACTGTCGTGAAGAGCTTGCCTATTCGGTCGTCAAGAGGTCTGCGAGAAGAAAGCAACAGGTTAGATCTTGAACAATTCCAAAAACGCTTGCAGAAGTTGAATCAAGTTGCACTTACCTCCGATCGACCATCACTGTCTAGGTAGGCACTAGCCTCGTAAAATCTTATTCTGCATACTACGTCATAAGATTTAATAGATAACATCTCTTGTAATGTGAAAGCAGTTCCAAAAGCTTGAAATGTCAAGCATTCCATCTCTCTTGGTCTTTGACCATCACAATGGGACTAACCACCAAGAGGATGCTGTGAAACTAAGCTATCGGCCGTTATAGCTTAGTTACACAGCAACCTCATGATGGTAAGTCTCATTTTGGTGGTCAAAGGTTCGAAGAGATGGAGTGCTGGGCATTACAAGCGTATGGAATAGCTTACACATAAAAAGAGATGTTAACTGTAAAATCTGATGACGTAGCAGGTAGAATCTGACTTTACGAGGTGAAGTGCTGTAGCCGGCTCAAGTGTTAGTGTCCGCACATTAAGTCTTGACGTCGGCACTTCGTGCTTAGCGTCGGCGCTTCAACTCTCCACAAGAGGTCGCCAACAGGTCTGCAGGAAGAAATAAACATGTTAGTACTTGGATTAAAAACAAAACAAAAAAAAGGCTAAAATCGGCTACAGGAAGTAGATGAAAAAAATACGCACTTACCTCCATTCGACCGACTCCGCGACGGGGAAGACCGACGTGGTCTTCGTGATGGCGAAACTTGTCTTCCCCGTGTTGGCGATCTCGCCGTATAGGCGTGAAGGTCTTGCGGTGCGATCTCGAGTTTGTTGAGAATAGCTTGCCTTAGCGTCGGCGCTTCAAGTTGTAGCGTCGTTGCTTCAAGTCTCGCCAAGTCGGTCGCCATGAGGTCTGCGGGAAGAAAACAGAAATTAGTACTTGAAGATTGTTGAACGGCTTAAGAAATTAACTGAACAAAACGGCTACGGGAAGAAGTAGAAATAAACTGCGGTTACCTTCACTTGCCGTCTCCGTGCCGCCGAGAGCGACGGGAAGGCCGACGTAGCCTTCGTGATGGCAAAGCTTGCGTTCCCCGTATTGGCGATCTCGCCGTATTGGCGTGAAGACCTCGCGGTGGGATCTTGAATCTGCCGCGGGTAGCTTGCCTTCGCGTCGGCGCTTCAAGTCTCGCCAACGAGCCGTTCGCGCTCCACTGTACGAGCCTAACGAGTCTCTTCGACGGTTGCAGACTTGCAAAATCGAACAGGGTTAAACGCACAAGAAATGACAAGTAACAAATGCGCAAGAAATATAATGAAGCGAATGCAAAAAAAAATCTTACCTTGCAACGTTACCGTCATTTCGTGCGGCTCCTCTGGTCGTCGAAGGTCGTAGCAGGTCGTCGAAGGTCGTCGAAGGTCGTCGAAGGTTGTCAAAAGTCGCCCTTACCCAACCACCCCACCCACAACGCGACTCTGCGACGCTGCGACGCTTGCGACGCTGCGACTCGAGACACTTACGACGATGCCAAGCTGGACGCCGTTGGCTGACTCCGGGTTGTCTTGGTGGAAGCAGGAAGAAGCATGAAGTTAGTCAAAGCAAATGCTTACCTTCTGAGCATTGCCGGGAACATTGTTAGTGGGTGTGACGGAACTTACCATTCAGAAGCTGCTGAATGAACCGATGGGATGGGAGTAAGTCGTGAAGGTGAGTTCAGTTCCTTGGTGGTGCCGAGCCGAGGGACCAGAAGCCGGCGTGCCGCCTTCGGGAATCCCTTGGTTGGAATCTGGAAGTGGTGGGGTTTGAAAATCAAGGGTGTAGGTAGCGCCGCAAGCAGTGGATGTTTCAGATTTCGCCAGCCGATGTATGGCGGCCAGAAATGCCAAAAGTTTGCGCCGAGTGACGGCAGGTAGTCAGAGGGAACATTGTGTTGACTGGGTCAGACCGTTGGTTCAGCGCGGGGAAGTTTGGCAGGCTGACATCCCCCATTGTAGCTTCTTTGGTGTCAAATCTGTACAGTTCAAATCGTTTGTGCAACAGTTATTCTGTTGAATGACATTGTTGTTGCGATGGACGAGGAACAAGTCCTGTTGTGGTTCGCGAAAGTTCGAAACATGGGAAGGTTGCGACTGTTTCTAGGAGATTGTTGACGTGGCACTATGTTTAGTAGGAACAAAATAAATTGCGTGATGCGCGGGACGGCGTTGGTATAAGAGTTGGATGAGTTTAGGTAAAAGCCGTTTTGTCGCAACAAAGTTTCGTCAGCTGAGTGGAAAATCGCTGGAGCCAATCAAAATGATTTGCTTGGAGCGAAGGGATGCGAAACAGATTGAAAGTAGTCGCCTCATGTCGCCGAATGTCGCACTGGATAAGGGCAGGCGATGCAAGGGAAGCATTGGCAGGTTGCTGCACCCAACCCGCACGCTCTCCCACTTCAGATTTTAGATCTAAAATTTGGCGTTCACATTTTACATTAGGCTTTCTTAGTACTGTCTCTCGTACCTTAGAACCGCAGCGACGAGTGTCACGCCTCGTACCTTAGTGTTGTCGCTTGTGATTCTTAGTTCCTCCTTCACAAACGTCACCTGAACATCGTTGCGAGTAGCACGGTATTCAGATCGACGTGCCATGGCTAACAGAGGTAGTATGGTCGCGAATGCAGTTCATAGGTTGAAAGTGGTTTTTTCTAAAGGCGCAGATCTGGTTTCCGAACATAATCATTTCGTCGAAAGAAAAATCGATTTCGTACCAAGAACTTCCCTTCGATTTTTCGGCAATCTCTACGGCACGCTGTGGAGAGGAATGCGCTGATGTGAAAGGGGGGAACTGAAAGCGGGAACGGGAAATGCGCTGGTATGAATGCGGGGAGCGGAAAGCGGGAGCTGAATGCGCTGAGCTGAGAGCGGGGCGCGGAACGCGGGGACTGGTTGCGCTGAGCTGAAAGCAGGGAATAATCATAAGCGGGCGCTGGTGACTCGCGTCGGTTACTCGAGCTGGTAACTTGCGCTGGTAAGTCGCGCGTGTAACTCGTGCTGGTAATTCGCGCTGGTAACTCGCGCTGGTTTCTCGCGCTGGTGACTTGCGCTGATTACTCATGCTGGTAACTCGCGCGGGTTTCGGGTTCGCTGGTTACTCGCGCTGATGGCGTGAAGTGTATCTTATGTCTTGTGAAATACATTGGCTGAGGACGAAGGTTATCATGCACCGTTTCTCCCTGCCCACCCCTTTCCATCTCCCCCTTCCCTCCTTTCCTTCTCTCTCCTCTCGCTGCTCAAATTTTGGGGGAGCTTTCAGCAGCGTCTTTCAGGTCTGCCCTCCCCTCTCCCACCCTCCTCCCTCCCTCCCTCCATCCTCCCTCCCCCCTTCCCTCCCCCCCTCCCTCCCTCCCTCCCTCCCTCCCTCCCTCCCTCCCTCCCTCCCTCCCTCCCTCCCTCCCTCCCTCCCTCCCTCCCTCCCTCCCTCCCTCCCTCCCTCCCTCCCTCCCTCCCTCCCTCCCTCCCTCCCTCCCTCCCTCCCTCCCTCCCTCCCTCCCTCCCTCCCTCCCTCCCTCCCTCCCTCCCTCCCTCCCTCCCTCCCTCCCTCCCTCCCTCTCCCTCCCTCCCTCCCCCTCCCTCTCCCGCTCCCTGCCCCTCTCTCCCCGTTTCACCTTCGCGGATACTGTCCCTTACGCGATTGCAGGGTGCTTCAGCAGCATCCTTGCGGAGACTTCAGCAGCGTTTCAGAGATTCACCCATCTTTCCCCCCATCGTTCAGAGTTTTTATCGCCTTCCCCCTCCCTCCCTCCTTTCTGCAGCATCGTTCAGGGTTTCCACTCCTCCCTCCCTCCCTCCCTCCCTCCCTCCCTCCCTCCCTCCCTCCCTCCCTCCCTCCCTCCCTCCCTCCCTCCCTCCCTCCCTCCCTCCCTCCCTCCCTCCCTCCCTCCCTCCCTCCCTCCCTCCCTCCCTCCTTCCCTCCCTGATCCCTCTTCCTCTCCCCTGTTCACCTTCGCGGACACTGTCCCTTACGCGATTGCAGGGTGCTTCAGCAGCATTTTTACAGAGACTTCAGCAGTGTCTCTGAAAAACGGTATTTTCCCCCCCATCTTTCAGAATTTCACCGCCTTCCCCCTCCCTCCCTCCTTTCAGCAGCATCTTCTAACTATGCTGGGGAGATTGTGTGTGGTTCCGCCTTCTATTCCCCTCCTCCAGCCCCCCACCTCTCCCGGCCCCCCTCTCCCTTCCCGCCTTTCTCTCCTCATCCCCCTGCTGCTCCTTGCTCCATTTACCCACCTCACACTCCCCATTCCTTCTTTGCTTCGACTGGCGGTAGCAGCAGCGGTCGAAGCTAGAGTGCAACAAGCAAATTGACTTGGTATCTGAACAGGATATTACGCTTACGTTTACGTACGTTTTACGTTTACGTTTACGTACGTTTTACGTTACGTACAAGGTTCCAGAATGAGTTTACGTTTCCGGGCAGATTAGTTTTTTTTTTCAGCTGCCCGGGTCATACAATTTTCCCTGAGATTGAAAGTTGGCATTACATGATCTATGATAATGTTATGGTTCAAGCTACGAAATTACAATTTCCAGCCAGAAATTTTGTCGCCGACCATTGTTTGTATCGGCGCGTCACTTTGTGACGCGTTACTTCTGCTAGGTGCACAAAAACGCTTCGGGCTTTCCCTCCAATTTCAAAATCGCGAGTCAACGTCCCCCCCCCCCCCCCCCAGTGTCATCACTTCGACCTCCCCACCTGTCCTTATGTTCCAGCCCCGTGACTTACGCGGGGCTCTGAAGGTTACGCTCGATGCTAGAGCTATAGATCCACGACCTAATCCTCACATCTTCTACATAGATCTCCGTTCTAGATCCTCTAACCTAGATCCTAGAGTTCCTAAGTACGACCTAAGTTAAGATCTGAAAGATGGTTGGTGCTGCGAATTTAAATAGCGAGGTAGATAGTCACTAAATATAGCATTACGGTTATGAAAGAACCGTCAATCCTAAATATAGCATTTCGTACGCAGCTGTATGTGCTGCCCTGAACGGTTGTGCCGCAATGATGCTCTCTTCTCCAGGGCCAATTTACAGTTTTTTTTTTCTTTTTTGCCGGATTTTTTTTCCAGCCCGGACCTAAGTTACGCGTATTTACGCGTACGTAAACGTAAACGTAATGTTACGCGTAACATTGCGTTTACGTAGGTCCAGGGACGTACGGACCCATCTTAGCTCTAGACGCATGTCATGGATGCACTCCGGTTACCCGACCGAGTCTCTTCCACTGACCCCGGTCTTTCCGTCAAACCAGGCGATGTCGCAGTTTCTGCAGTCGTACGGTCGCATGCTGCAGCACGTTCAGGCGAACGGCCGCAACGAGCAAGCCGGCGACGCTTTGGTATCGGGCGACTCTCTCGCAGCAGCGGGTGCGACGGTGGTCGAGCGTGTTCATATTGGCAACACGACAACTTTTAGGCCCTTAGGCCCGCACCGTTAATGATAGATTCGTTATATTCATGCACCAGGTTATTACTCTAGGCGTGATCTGCCTCCATCGTTCCTGTTTCTGCCAGCGGTTTTCGTTCTTATAACGAGGGTGGGGGGGAGGGGGGCAGCTTGTCCTGTGCTGGGGTGTGCAGCCATCACCTGACGCTGTGCGGTGTACATAATTTATGGGAATGATGGATTGGCTGATTAGGCGTAGGCAGAGAAATCGCATGTCTTTTACCACTCATTATATAAAAATGCGGGTAACCGTTTCAGGCCAATTCAGTGATTTGTGGAGTCCAATTAGCACATGGATGAAATAAGAATTGTTCTCATCCCATCAGCTAGTGTTCTGTTTTCCCTTACCCTGACGATAAATGCAGAAACGACTGGCACGAGCGTCGAGATGCCTGTAACAGCCCCGTTGAGATATACCATGCTTTAGTGTGTTTAGCAGAACTGCTACAAAACAGTACAGCAAAGTCTCACACAACATCCACGTATTGCTGACAGCGTTTGACCCGCCTCTGAGTCGATCAGACCCCACTCCCGATGTGCTGGCAATCCCAATGGGTGCACTGCCCAATCACGCGGAGCCTCGCGCCACGTCGCAGCTGGGACCACCCAGACCCACCCATCACTCGACCTGAATCCTCGAAATCCCTGCTGCATCCTGCTGATGAAATGAAATGGAGATACCTAGGATCTCAATAAGGCAGCAGAAACCAGAGTCCAAAGTCGTTTTCTTTCCGAATAAGCAGAGATAGCAGCTATCAGCAAGTCCCTTTCACGCCTTGTCGGTTTCACATCAAAAGCAGAGGAATCTTCTGGTCTGTCTGTGTAGTTGCTTGCTGCTGCTCTGCGCTGTTTCCGCGCATCGCGCTGTTGTTGCCTTCACGATTGATCGCCTGCCATCATGGAACGTCTAGCCGTAATTTCCGGGCATCTGTGTCCCCCAAGGCGCGACGAAGAAGAGCAGCAAGGTCGGCATCCATCCTCATACGTGTTTCCTCATGTGGCTCATGTGTTTTCGCGTGTCCTTATGTGTCGTCGGAGTTCCTGATATGCACCATCATGAAAAGTGCCGAACATCGTCTAGCCTACGGCCTATAGCTAAACGGAGGATATATCAAACCCATTGACCCATCAGCTCTCCTGAATCACACTGCGTCTAGTAATTACCGTCACTGTGGTTCCGCCGCATTGCGACCATCTCGTGCTTGCTGTCGAGTGCATTCTCGTCCCTAACTTGTTCCCATACGACTTCACGAAGTTTCCTTTCACGTAGTACTTACCTCTTACCTGGTGCACTCTTATTTCAGATGCACGGACTGTCGCGCCGTCACCAACGTTGTCGCTTCTCAACACGGCCGATCCGCCGTCAACTTTCACCCAGGCCCAGCCGGCCACCGTCTTCCCGCCGTCAAAGTCCGACTACTTCGGCCTGAACGATCTTCTGACCCCCGATCAGCAGGCTCTCCGGCTGCGTGTCCGAGAATTCATGGAGAGAGTCGTCGCTCCCGTTGCACCAGCCGTAAGATTTTCTCTAGTATTTTTTTAGATTCAATTACGAGCTCTCTGTTTTCTCAATGCGAGGCAAGTTCGGTAGCAGCTTCCAGTTCTGTGTGCTGATCTGTCAATGTCCGCTGGTCTGCGTGTGTGCAGTATTGGGAGAAAGCGGAGTTCCCGCACGAGCTGGTGCCCCAGATGGCCACGCTCAAGCTTGCTGGAACCACCATCAAGGTCAGTGCCTATCGATGTGACTTTTGAGTCGACTCAAAAGTCTTCCCGCACGAGCTGGTGCCCCAGCTGGCCACGCTCAAGCTTGCTGGAACCACCATCAAGGTCAGTGCTTATCGGGTAAAGAGGGACAGACGACATACGACATACGCGAGTGGCAATACTATAACGGACTTCTTGTGAAGCTCAAAAATTTCACGCCAAAATTTTCTAGCGGGATTCCATCAATGTTATCCGTCCCATGCAGCTGTGGCAAATGGACAGCCACAGGCAATCAACTTGTTCAGCAACAAATTGAAAAATGAGTTTGAAGCCTGAATGGGCATTTGGAGTTTTGCAGTTCTCCATTCCACTCTCGCTCTCTCCCTTCCACTCTCACCCCTACGTCATCAGGGCTACGGGTGCCCGGGCTTGTCAATGACAGCAGCCGGGGTAGCTGCAGCGGAGCTAGCTCGAGTGGATGCGAGCTGTGCCACATTCATTCTCGTGCACAGCTGCCTTGGCATGCTCACCATCGGTACGTGTGTGTATCTGTCACAGCGGAGTGTTGTACCAATAGGAAGAAGAGTGTGCTCCTTCAACTTGTATCGTCCATGGGCGTGTGCAGCTTGGCGTATATTCTATCCTAAACCCTGCTTTTGCATGAATTCATGTAGTGCCTGCGTGGGTCTTGGCTTGCTCCCATCGTCTTCGCTTCCCCTGTGTCTCCATCTGCTCGTTCTCCTCTCTCTGTGTGCATGCAGCGCTGTGCGGCAGTGAGGAGCAGAAGCAGAGGGATCTGCCACAGTTGGCTGAGCTCAAGAAGATCGCCTGCTGGGTGAGATTCTCGAGCTGGAGCTAGGGTGGGGGATGAATCTGTTTGATGGAGCTGAATAAATTTGTGCTGAATGCTGGAGCTGAGTTGTGCTCCTGCTGTCCCTTGTTCCCCGTCTCCCCTCTTTCTGACCCTCCATCCCTTACCTTCTTGAATGAAAGGGCTATGGTGGTGAGTGACGAGCGCTCGCCACCAGGGAACGTAGGCCGCAAGAGGGGTGGAAGGTTGCGCAATATGAATCTGAACCACCACATGTGATATTTCTTCCCACCCTGCTCTTTCCTCAAAGCTTGAGAGAGGCCGACTATGGCAGTGACGGCAGCTCACTCACCACCACGGCACGCAAGTGGCAAGCAGGGAGCTTGGGAAGGAATCAAATCTCAACCACAAATGGTGATATCTTCTCCTTTCCTTGATTGATCCCTCCCTCCTCGTCCCTCAGGGCTTGACAGAGCCCGACTATGGCAGTGACGCCAGCGCTCTCACCTCACCACCACAGCGTGCAGAGTGCAAGGCGGATGGGTGGGTTCTTAACCTCCTTCCGTGCATTGAATATCCCGTCTCTTGATCCCTCCCTCCTCGTCCCTCGGGGCTTGACAGAGCCGGACTATGGCAGTGACGCCAGCGTCTCACCACCACGGCATGCAAGGTTCAAGCAGGGAGCTTGGATGGGTTCTTAGTCTCAACCCGTACAGGCAATATATCTTCCCTTCATCCCTTCCTCCCCTTCCCGCAGGGCTTGACAGAGCCGGACTATGGCAGTGACGCCAGCGTCTCACCACCACGGCATGCAAGGTTCAAGCAGGGAGCTTGGATGGGTTCTTAGTCTCAACCCCTACAGGCAATATATCTTCCCTTCATCCCTTCCTCCCCTTCCCGCAGGGCTTGACAGAGCCGGACTATGGCAGTGACGCCAGCGTCTCACCACCACGGCATGCAAGGTTCAAGCAGGGAGCTTGGATGGGTTCTTAGTCTCAACCCCTACAGGCAATATATCTTCCCTTCATCCCTTCCTCCCCTTCCCGCAGGGCTTGACAGAGCCGGACTATGGCAGTGACGCCAGCGTCTCACCACCACGGCATGCAGAGTGCAGGGCGGCTGGGTGGGTTCTTAACCTCCTTCCGTGCACTGAATATCCCGTCTCTTGATCCCTCCCTCCTCGTCCCTCAGGGCTTGACAGAGCCCGACTATGGCAGTGACGCCAGTGCTCTCACCACCACGGCACGCAGAGTGCAAGGCGGATGGGTCTTTGCTCATTCTTACCCCTATAAATGATGTCCTTTTTCCTGATCCCCCTCTCACCGTGTCCCACAGGGCTTGACAGAGCCGGACTATGGCAGTGACGCCAGCGCACTCACCACCACGGCACGCAAGGTGCAGGGCGGATGGGTGCTCAACGGTTTCAAGCGGTGGATCGGCAACAGCACCTTTGCTGACGTCATCATCATCTTTGCCCGCAACACGTCGACCAATCAGGTCAACGGGTAAGCTTCATTCTTTTGTCCCTCCCAGTTTGTCCCATGGCAGCAGTCGATTCGATTGTCCCGTGATCGTTGCTTCTGCCTGGTTGTTGACTATCCGACCATCTGGCCTGGCTTTGCTATGCCTGCTTCGTCTATGCTCTGTGGCCGTTGTGCCACCTTTTCTCCTTTGTAATAGCCGCCTTTCCTTTTCACCTCACGAATTAGAACCAACCAACCAACCTGGCCACCATTCATACCTTCTCCATGCCCGTTCTTCTCCAACCTCCCCTTTTACAGTTTCATCGTGCGCAAGGGTGCAAAGGGGTACAGTGCGGTGAAGATGGAGAACAAGATCGGGCTGCGGATAGTGCAGAACGGGGACATCACCCTAAAGGACGTGTTTGTGCCGGACTGTGACCGGCTGCCAGGAGTCAACTCCTTCCAGGACACCAACAAGGTGAGAGCAGGTTCAGTGCGGTACAGTGCATGCATACTGTTCCTAGTGCAGAACGGGGACATCACCCTAAAGGACGTATTTGTTCCGGACTGTGACCGGCTGCCAGGAGTAAATTCCTTCCAGGACACCAACAAGGTGAGAAGAAAGCAACTGTTTAGTGCGGTGCAATACAATACGGTACGGCACAATACAATGCATTGCAATACTGGTAGGCTGGGCATGGTGCAGAACGGAGATATCACTCTCAAGGACGTGTTTGTGCCGGACTGTGCCGGCTGCCAGGGGTGAATTCTTTCCAGGACACCAACAAGGTGCGAGTAGTTTCAAAGCGGTGGAGTGTGGTACAGTGCGGGAAGTGCAGGTTGTGTATGGTGATGTAGAATGGAGACAACACCCTCAAGGACGTGTTTGTGCCGGACTGTGACCGCCTGCCAGGAGTGAACTCCTTCCAGGACACCAACAAGGTGGGAATAGTTTCAGTGCGGTGGAGTGTGATACACTGCAGTACAGTGTGGTACAGTGCAGTACAGTGCGTATAGTGTTGTAAGTGAAGGTTGTGGAAAGTGCAGAACGGAGACATCACCCTCAAGGACGTGTTTGTGCCGGACTGTGACCGCCTGCCAGGCGTGAACTCCTTCCAGGACACCAACAAGGTGAGAGTTGTTGCAGTGCGGTGGAGTGTGGTACAGTGTGGTATAATAGGTTACAGAGCGGTACCGTGCGGTATAGTGCCATAAGTGTAGGTTGTCAAATGGGTACCTACACTCACGGCACTATACCGTGCTGGACTGTGACCGGCTGCCAGGAGTGAATTCCTTTTAGACCATAAATCAAATTTCCCGCCTGGCCCCGCTGCTTACTCCCCACTCTGTTCCGCAGGTGCTGGCAGTGTCACGGGTGATGGTAGCCTGTCTGCCTGTCGGCATGTGCATGGGCATGTACGACATCTGCCTGCGCTACCTGCAGCACTGACTCCCACTCAGCTCTCTCCTCACCTCCGGCCTCCCCTTCCTCTCCCTTTCCCTCTACGGTCCCGTTCTCCCCCGTCTCCCCCTCCCTCTTCCGCAGGTGCTGGCAGTGTCACGGGTGATGGTATCCTGGCTCCCTGTGGGCATGTGCATGGGCATGTACGACATCTGCCTGCGCTACCTGCAGCACTGACTCCCACTCTCCCCTTCTTCCTGATTGTCCCCCTAACCTCTCTCCCAGGTGCTGGCAGTGTCACGGGTGATGGTATCCTGGCTGCCTGTCGGCATGTGCATGGGCATATACGACATGTGCCTGCGCTACCTGCAGCAGCGCTCGCAGTTCTCCGCGCCGCTCGCCTCCTTCCAGCTGTGCCAGGAGAAGCTCGTGCGCATTCTGGGCAACGTGCAGGCCATGTCGCTGCTCGCATGGCGGCTATCCCAGCTGTACGACCAGGGGCGGATGACCGCGGGGCATGCGAGCATGGCTAAGGCCTGGATCACCCTCAGAGCGCGCGAGACTGCCGCTCTGGGAAGGGAGCTGCTGGGTGGAAACGGGATCCTGGCAGAATTTCTGGTTGCAAAGGTGAGAGTCTGATACTTATGGTCTGGTACCCAGAACCCAGAACCCGGAACCCGGAACCCGGAACTCGGAACTCTGTAGTGAAAGAAACTTTAGGGAGAGTAGCGTAGAGGCTCCTTCCAGCTGTGCCAGGAGAAGCTGGTGTGCATTCTGGGAAACGCATGCCAGTCATCGAGCATGCAGGCTCTTACGATGTGAACGTGCTTGCGCTTGTGACTGAAATATGATTAATTTCTTCTTCCTCTGTCCCATTCCACCTCGCAGCACTTTTGCGATTTGGAGCCAATCTATACTTACGAGGGCACGTACGACGTGAACGCGCTTGTGACGGGGCGGGAGGTGACGGGCATTGCAAGCATCAAGGCTCCTCCTGCACGCAAGGCCAAGGACAATGGCAAGGGCATGTTGTGAGGGTGTGATGTGAATGTGTGGAGGAGGATGAAGTGAAGGCAGTTTCGTGAAGAGCGCAGAAGAACCACAAAGAGAAGAGTGCATGATACGCATGCTGTGGGGTTAGAATCATGAAGGGGTTTTGTGATCAGACTTGTGATATGTTTGTCATCGACTGTAGAGTTTGCAGTACTGGTGTGTAACATGCGCTGTACAGTTCTTATTGTGGAATAGAGTGTAATTTGCTGGTTCCGTTCCGCTCCTATCAACACTATGGTCCCCATTTTTGTTGGGTAACTATGACATACCCAAAGCAAATCCTCTCAAAAGTGCGATTGCAACCCATTGTTGGATATAACATGTACACGGGAATATGGTACCGTACGTGGAAACATAATCAATCCAGGTTGAAAATCTTATTGCCAAGTTTTCAATGACTGCGTAACACACTTGTTACTGCACCGCATGCCCTCTAATGTGCATCGAGTGTGCTCTTAGAAGGTGCTTGATCCAGAGAGCAGACGCCTTGGGGAATCTCGGAAGCGAAGGGTCCGTGAAGTTGACAAACACTGCACCAAACCGCTCTGAAAACCCCATGGCCCATTCCCAATTGTCCAGAAGCGACCAGGCATAGTATCCCTCCACCAGCACGCCTTGCCTGCGCAATACCATACCAGGAGAGAAAAGGAGCTCAGTGCTGGGTAATAAGATCCTGGGACCGTAGCAGTACGAGAAATGAGCATCACAGGGAAGCAGTGGAAGCGAACACGCTGGTTGTCACATGGGGGGGAGCGAGCGACTTTTGAGATGAAAAAGGAGGATATGGGGGACGTGCAGCTTACCGGCTGGCATTTGAATGGACTCAAAAGTCACCTCACCTCACTCACATACCCTTGGAGAGGTAGGAGCGGTAGAAGCGGCGTCACAGAGATATCAGAGCGGGGTGGTGGGGACAGGAAACAAGGGGGGAGGAAGACAGAGAGCGTACCGCTTGGCTTGAAGCACACTGGAGAGGTAGGAGCGGTAGAAGCGAACGCGCTGATCGTCACAGAGGGAGCGAGCGAGTGAGCGCGACGGGAGGTTGGGCTCGCTCATTCCTGGCGTGGAGGGGACGGGGAGAACACGTGGAAACACGTGGCAACACGTGACAACACGTGACAAAAACAAATATAACAAAGGGTTCCGTGTGAATGTACAGGTTAAAGGCACATGTATGGGTGAGACAGCCGCCGTGCTTTTCTATATGACGCTGTAACTGATAGAAATGAAAATGGAAGTGTTACCATTTTCAGTGATGATGATGGGGACGGACGGATATCTGTGGCTGATCCACGTCAGCATGTGCTGGATTGCTGTTGGCACCACGTGCAGCCATGATGATGCTGTGCGCTCCCCTATAAGCTTCCCCGTTACAGGGGACACAGCTGGAAGAAGAAGGGTGCAGTGGCGTATATAATTGAAGGTTCCTTAGGAAGTGTGCGTGGGAGGAGGTGGGGAGATGAGGAGGTGAAGTGGGGAAATGGGGATGACAGGGTGAGGGTTGGGGAAGGGGCTACGGGTGAGGGTGAGGATAGGGGTGAGGAAGAATGAAACAGGGTAAAATGGAAAGAGCATTAAGTTCACAACCTGGTGAGAGCAGACGGGCTTATTACTGTGCTTATGTGGCACTCACCTGTCATGTCCACGTGGCAGTCCATCCACGGTGCCGCCCCAGCTGCCACGTCAGCATCCCCTCCACTCTGAGCCGCTTTTTGGGCGGCGAACTGAGCGGTGTAGAAGTTGAGGCCGATGAAATCCGAGGAGCCAATCAGTAGCGAGGATTCGGCGGCAGAAAAGAACGGCAGACGCGAGCCGACAGCCTGGCGCATGGAGGGCGGGTAGTCGCCCCTGAATAAGGGATCTGCAAACCTGATGGGGGGAAGGGAGGGGGAATTGACATGTGGTGGTGGTGAGAGTCTGTTAGTAAGGGCCCTCAAAAACAGATTGGCAGCAGGTGACAGCCTGGCGCATGGAGGGCGGGTAGTCGCCCCTGAATAAGGGGTCTGTGAACCTGGTCAGGGGAAAGAGGAGGGAGGAGGGAGGAGAAAGCATGTTGTTACAACACACAATCCATTGTCGTCGTGCCCATGCGCCCTCCTGCATTTCCCACCCACCCTCCCACCAACGCACCAGGCAGATGCGAACTCCATCCCTCGTTGTGCCGCGTCCACACTCCCCCGGGTGCCATCAGCTGGGTACAGAAACACACAATCCATCGTCAAGCCCATGCGCCCTCCTCCTGCTTCTCCTACAAGCCTCAACAAGCAAAAGCTAGCCACCCACTCACCAGGCAAAGGCAAACTCCATCCCTCGTTGTGCCGCGTCCACACTCCCCCGGGTGCCATCAGCCGGGTACAGAAACACACAGTCCATTGTCATGCCTATGTGGCCTCATGCCCATGCGCCCTCCTGCTTCTCTCACCCACCCACCCACCAACCCACCTACCCACCCATCCAACCACCCACCCACCCACCCACCCACCCTCCCACCAACGCACCATGCAAAAGCAAACTCCATTCCTCGTTGAGCCGCGTCCGCGCTCCCTTCACTCCCATCGGCCGGGAACAGAAACACACAATCCATCGTCATGCCTATGCGCCCTCCTGCGCCGTTCCTTTCCTTCTCCTTCTTCCCCTTCTCCCCGTTCCCCCAGTTGGCAACCCATTGGTTGCTGTATCTCCTCCGATAGACGGCCACAGCAGCAGCATGGGCGAGCATGATGTGGTGAGCGACGGTGTAAGGCTCGGTGGAAGAATCTCCCTGCTCGCAGGAGGACCGGTTGGAGCAGCGCCCGGGCGCCATTGTGCCGTAGCCGTAGCCCTGAGGGGGAGGAGCGGAGGAAGGAGAGAGGGGGCGGAAAGGTTCCACACGACCATCAACGGCCACAGCAGCAGCATGGGCGAGCATGATGTGGTGAGCAACGGTGTAAGGCTCGGTGGACGAATCTCCCTGCTCGCATGCTGACCGGTTGGAGCAGCGGCCTGGTGCCACTGTACCGTAGCCATAGCCCTGAGAGGGAGGAATGGGGGGATGGGGGGGAAGGGAGAGGGTAGCAGCATGGGCGAGCAGGATGTGGTGAGCAACGGTGTAAGGCTCGGCGGACGAATCTCCCTTCTCGCATGCTGAGTGGTTGGAGCAGCGCCCTGGTGCCATGGTGCCGTAGCCATAGCCCTGAGGGAAAGGAGGAAGGGAGGACAGGGAAGAGGGTGGGAGGGCCAAGATGTAAGGCTCGGTGGACGAGTCCCCTTGCTCGCACGCTGAGTGGTTGGAACAGCGCCCTGGCGCCATGACCGTAGCCCTGAGAGAGGAGAGGAGGGGGAGGGATGCCCTTCGAAGGTAATCCCTCCGTAGCCAGGTTTGATCCACGTCAGCATGTGCTAAGGTCTGCTATTGGTCCGTAGCCAGGTTTGACAAAGCGAGCAAATGATGGCAGCTGCTATCCCTCCTCCTCTCCGCCTCTCCCTCCCTCCCCTCCCTGGCTTGTTCCTCTCCCTCCCCTCACTCACCTGGACTGCAGTCTGCTGCGGCTCATTGAACGTAATCCAAGTCTTCACCCGGTCGCCAAAGCGAGCGAATGCCTGCTATCATTTCTTTCACCCTCTCTCCCTCTCCCCACTCCCTCCCCTCACTCACCTGCACAGCAGTCTGCTGTGGCTCATTGAAAGTAATCTAAGTCTTCACCCGGCTGCCAAAGCGAGCAAATGATGGGAGCCCTCAACAATTGCACCCTCCTTCTACTCCATCCCCCCCCCCCCCTCTGCCTCCCCTCTCACCTGCACTGAAGTCTGCTGCGGCTCGTTGAAAGTAATCCACGTCTTCACGCGGTCGCCAAACCAAGCAAACAACCAGAGCTGCTATACTGTAACCCCCTCCCCACCCACCCCCCTCACCTGCCCGCCTTACCCCCCATCCCTCTCACCTGCACTGCAGTCTGCTGCGGCTCATTGAACATAATCCAAGTCTTCATCTGGCCGCCAAAGCGAGCAAATGATGGGAGCCCTCAACAATTGCATTGCACCCTCCTTCTACTCCACCCCCCCCTCTCCCTCTGCCTCCCCTCTCACCTGCACTGCAGTCTGCTGTGGCTCATTGAAAGTAATCCAAGTCTTCACGCAGTCGCCAAAGCGAGCAAAGCACACGTCCGCATACCGAACAAAAGCGTCCCTGTGGGTGGGAGCAGAGGCAAGAGCGACAGCAGGTCACAGCAATGAATAACAGCGACGCACTCTCTTTTCAGCAAAACCACTCACATGATGCTTCCATTCCATTCCATTCCATTGAGCCAGCGTCCAGTTGCCTCGTGCAGGTGCATGGGCGGCGGGTTCCAGTGGTAGAGCGCTACTCATGACTCGTGAGGCATTGAAGTTCAGCAACAGCAATGAGTAACAGCGATACACTGCTTCTCTCTCCACTCCACTCACACAATGCTTCCGTTAAGCCACCCCCCGCGTGCCTCGTGCAGGTGAGACGGCAGGTCCCAGTGGTACAAGGTGACAGCTGGCGCGATGCCATTGGCCAGCAGCTCGTCTATGAGGTGGCTGTAGTGCTGCACGCCCGCCTCGCTCACTGCTCCCATGCCATCTGTCCACGGGAGAAGGAAGGAGAGGAGGAGGGGAGACAGCGGTGGGTGGAGAAGGGAGAGCGTTGAGTACTGGATACCATTGACTGTTGTTGATTCACAGTGACCGGCTTGACTCGCCAGGGATGATTTGCGACCAGGAGATGGAGAAGCGAAGTGATAGGAGGCCGCTCGCGTTGACCACTGACCACAGATCATTGACTTGCCGTTGACCCAAGTTGACTCACGTTGACTGGTTTGACTCACCAGGGATGATTCGGGACCAGGAGATGGAGAAGCGGTAGGAGGTCGCCCCCATGGCCTTGAGCAGTGCCACGTCATCCTGATGACGTGGCCACGCAAACAAGCAACCAGGGGGAAAACGAAATGGTTAACGCATGCATAGAATGGGACTGAGAGGGCAGTGAGACCAATGACTGAAGAAGCACACTCGCTAAAGTACATGTGCCGGGTCTGCATTCTTGATATGCTGTGCCTTATGGCGAGGATAAGGTGTACTTTACCGGTCTAGCCTCACCTTAAACCGGTGAAACTGATCATCCGTGACTGACGGATTTGAAGCGTCCTTGATCTTCCCTGAATATACAACAAGGCAGGCAGGAGTTGCAGATTAGGTAAGTTGCAATTCCAATAATTCACCAGTTAAAAAGCATTTTTTCTAGAGATGAAGCAATGAATCAAGAGATGGAGGGGTGACTGGGAGGCTTATCACCACTAGATGCCTCCCCTCTCTCTATCCCCTCTCTCCCCTTCTAAATCGCATCACCACTCTTCATCCCCTCTCTCCATCCCCTCTCTCTATCCCCTCTCTCCTTTTTTCTCTCCATCCCCCCTCTCCATCCCCTCTCTCCATCCCCTCTCTCCATCCCCTCTCTCCATCCCCTCTCTCCATCCCCTCTCTCCATCCCCTCTCTCCATCCCCTCTCTCCATCCCCTCTCTCCATCCCCTCTCTCCATCCCCTCTCTCCATCCCCCCTCTCCATCCCCCCTCTCCATCCCCTCTCTCCATCCCCCCTCTCCATCCCCCCTCTCCATCCCCTCTCTCCATCCCCTCTCTCCATCCCCTCACTTCAGCGCCACACTCCCCCTTCGCCTCCCTTCATTTCAGCCCCCCACTTCTCCTCACCTGCCCTCTCAGCAAAGTCGTCCCAGATGCTTCTCCCCCTTCCGCCCTCCGCCACTGCGCCCTCCACCTGGGCGGCGCATGGGCGGAAGGGGAAAGCAAGGGGGAGGAGGGGGAATAGGGGGGAGTAAGGGAAGCGAAGGGATGCGGAACAATAAAGGGTATGGGCCGAATATCCGCGAGTAGTAGGGCAGGGGATTGTACCTGTATCTGTACATGAGAGCACGGGGACACGTATCCGCGAATATGTTCCTGACCCTGCACCTGAACCAGTCTCACTTGGATCCCTTGCATCCCGTGCCACGTGGCTCACTCTCTCTCCGTGCAACGTGGCTCACTCTCTCTCCGTGCCATGTGGCGCACTCTCTCTCCGTGCCACGTGGCTCACTCTCTCTCCGTGCCATGTGGCTCACTCTCTCTCCGTGCCACGTGGCTCACTCTCTCTCCGTGCCATGTGCCGCACTCTCTCTCCGTGCCACGTGGCGCACTCTCTCTCCGTGCCATGTGCCGCACTCTCTCTCCGTGCCATGTGGCGCACTCTCTCTCCGTGCCATGTGGCTCACTCTCTCTCCGTGCCATGTGGCTCACTCTCTCTCCGTGCCACGTGGCTCACTCTCTCTCCGTGCCATGTGGCGCACTCTCTCTCCGTGCCACGTGGCCTCACCTGAGCGGCGCTTGTAGCGAATCCGAACACGAAGTCTCCGCCAAAGTCGCTCGCGCGCAGCTCCCCTTCCTCCCGCGCGCCGTCCGCGAGCGCGTCCAGCGACGGGCAGCCCTGAAGGGGAGAGGAGAGAGCAGGGGGGAAGTGGGTGGGGGAGAGGATGAGCGCAGCGCCCGTTCCTCCCGCACGCCGTCCGCGAGCGCGTCCAAAGACGGGCAGCCCTGGGGGAAGCGTGGGGGAGGGGGAAGACGGAAGGGAAAGGGGGGTTTGGCGGCGGGGATGGGGGAAAGGCGGGGATAGGATGCGGGCGGATTTGGGCGGAGGGGGAAGGGAAAGTGAAGAGGATGTTGGACTCGTCGGCAGGAAACAGAGGCTGTTGGGCGTATGCGGTACAATGGGGTGAAGATCGATGGGTGGGCACCCATTTGCACAATGACAGCTCATATATACCTTGAGTATCCTTCTACTCGTATCGAAGAGAGCTTCTGCCGTGGATAATCTCGAATTGTCGAGATTGCCGCTCTCTCGCGTCTCTGGAAACGGACGGGCTTTCGAAAAGTTCAAAGGTAGCTCTGGTAAGGGACGAATCGAAGAAATAGCGTCTGAAGTTTCCGGTTTGAATCCTGCTGGAGTGTAATTAAAGAATGCTAAGGACAGATCCACTTGAGCCCTTGTCGATGTAATGCTATTAGCGAGAACCAAGCTAGTCGCTGTGTGCTCCTGAGTGGCAACATCTTGCCGTGTATCGGAGGCGCTACTATCGAGGGCACCGTTCTCGCCGTGAGCGAGAGCAAGCACGAGGCACGGGATCAGCCCCGCTAAGAGCACCAGCGCTACTATCACAGCGCGTCGGATTGCCGGTCGAGCCATCAGCGTGCCGAATCTACTGCCCGAGGTGGCACCGGCGCTCCCGCCGCCGCCGCCGCTGCTGCTGCTGCTACTCTCGCCGCCCCCGATGATAGAAGTCGTGCTGCTCCGAGCGCGCATACGCGATGCTACACGGAATCTCGCGTTTTTAAAGCTCACCTAGCGCTGTTACTCGACTTCCGAATGTGCTACATGGCGGTGCGCGTAGTTCCTACCTCTTAGGTTAACTCCTATCAGAGGAAAGGCGCAGAAAAGAGAGTGCGGACTACGGAAACTGGGGATTGGGCAGAGTGGGGAGGGGACTGAAGAACCGGGTGGGGACTGGGGAGGATAGAGACTGATGAGGGAAGAGGTGGGACGAAGGATGAGGTAGACAGGGAGGGAAGGGAAGAGGCAGGGCCAGTGAAGATGGGGAGCGCGACAGGGAGAGAATGAGAGGATGAGCGCGAATGCGGGGCGAGAGAATGTGGCGGAGGTGCAAACAAATGCAATGCGAGGGGTTACGGAGGGGGCAAATTGCGCCCCTTCAAAGGCGGCGCAAATTGAGCGGCTCGAGCGAAAACTGTGTGCTTCTTCAATCTGGCGTGGCAGAGTTTTTCGCAAGCACTCAGCGTTGACGACGACGAGTTACTGAGTTCTGTTTAGCGCCTCTGACGAAACTATGGTAGGCGATGATTGGATGCTGTTTGAGTGATCCCCATGCGGGCCGCGTTGGCAACGCTGCAAATCGGCTGCTTGTGGTTGGTGAGGTGAGAGTCATTCGAACGCGTATAAAATTGCCAATATATGTTCTTGTACACCAAACGAGGAAGAGAAACAAATGCTACCACACATCAATGGTGCAAACAGTCTTAACAACTGGCAGAGAAAACGTTTCTAAAAAGTTATGGATTCAGGGGAGCGATAAAGTTGCTCAAACCGCATAAACGTCATACACTAGAAGGCATCTCTGCCTACACAGCTTTCAACTGTCCTACCCTGAACAGTGCCAAAATAGCACAAGTCTGCAAAGCCCAGGCTACATTACACCACCAAGCAAGGAACATCGCCATCTCCCTCACCAACAGTGGTGGCAACAATGACCCCTCTTTATCAAACAGTGGATCCAACTCCGGTCCTCTGCTCCTCGCAATACCCACCAGCAGGAGTGTGACTATAGGGAGCGCAACCGCTTGAATAGCAACCTTGCAGATGAAATAGTATGTCAGCTGCACGCGTGCGTTTACGCGATGATAAGCCCACTCCTTGCCAGAGTGTAGCTGATCATACCAGTACACCAACGCTGTATTGAGGTGTGACTGTACGGCGATGCGGAGAAGCAGAATGCGGGAAATGCCACCGACGAGAATAATTGCCACCTGGAGCCACTCGATTGGAAGGCCACCGCATTGGCCACTCAAAACGGATCCAACCAAAGAGCCAAAGTAAGCACCCAAGTGAGAGAGAGTGGACACACCAGCAGCAGCAGTAGAATTAATAGCAGCAGCAGTAGCATTAGCAGCAGCAGCAGAAGCAGAACCCAAAGCACCAGCCGAAACAGTGTCACCAACGCCAACAACAACACTGCCAGCTACAGCACCGCTCCCAACCGCATTGAAAACAACTACAGGCTCAAGAACTTCCGTCAGGGGACGGAACCAGAGCGCTGCTGCGAGCACAGGCAGCAGAAAGCTGACATTCCAGAGGAGAGAGGACCAGAAACCCTGATGGATGATCCCTGTGTCCCACGGCTGCTGGCTGGTGGAGAGATAGAAGCAGCGGACGAATCGGATAGCAGCAGGGAGGCACAGCGCGCCGATGACCCCTGAGAAGAGCACCAATGAGGTTTTAATGAAGGTTGGGGGGATGATGAATTCGGGGATGGTGTCCTTGGCCAGTCCCTTCGATTTGAAGTGATTCGTTATAGTCACGCCGGCCTTCTCCGCGACGGAATCGAAGTCGAAGCCGGTGAGGGACGCAGGCAGGACGAAGAGGAGGAACCCCGTTATAAGGCAGCTCGCTATCCCGGCGAGAGCACACTGCGTGAAATCCGAGGACCGGGTTGTGCCTCGGTCCCACTCTACAGAAGCCCAGTTCCGAATTATCTTCCACAGAGCCACAGCTGCAAGGAGAAGCGGAATCATGCCGCCATGATCCATCAGGAAAAGGCCAGTGGAAGAGGAATGGAGATTCTGCTTTGGGGTGTTCGGATCTGCATTTTGCTGCTGCTGGCTTTGCTGGTTGGCGAGCATTCCGCTTCCCTGAAGGTAAATCTCTATGACGCTCAGGATTTCCCGGGAAAACACCGCCATGATCCCTATGCAGGCGAACAGGATCGTTTCGTCGAACTCGCGAAAGAACTTTCGCGAATAGAGGTGACCATCCTGCACGAGAATTCGCATCATCTTGCCGCTTGTTTCGTCCGCTTCCGGCTCGTTGTTTTTTCTCCTGCCCTTGTTCTTGCCCTGCCCGTTGGGAGCGGATGACATGGGTACTCCCGCATTTTGATCAGTAAGCACGTAGACCTGCAGTTGCCGGAGCAGACGAACCGGGACTCCGTAACGAACAACGAGGAAGCTTGTAATGAGACAGACTACGGAGTAATAGACGACGCTGAATATCCCCAGCATCGTGATCCGTTCCTTTTGAGTCGAATCGTAACTAAATTAATGAATCAGCTAACGTTGAAAAAGAAGGAAAGGCAGAATTCACGGAGTTGAAGCTGAGAAAGCAACGGCCAACTGAAGGGTAGGCGGGCTGACAAAGGGATGGTGTGACATGGAGGGGACAGGGGAGAGGATTCGCGATCAGAAACGGACTAATACGCAGCAGCAGGAGCGTTACTACGGCGAGAGTGGCGTGGGCCCGTTACGAGCGTCTTTAGGCGCGCTGCTTCGTCACATGCCATGACATGGATGTCATTAGACGAAAATCTGTGACCATTCCTCGAATTCTGCTCTGATCTACAAATAATATGTTTTGCTCAATATGCACCACTAGAATATGCTCTCTCCGTGCCTACTGGTCTTGGGCTGACTGAGGGTGAAGAAACGCAACTGGACTGGATGAAATGGACGACACAGTACGGTACAGCACGGTGGATTTTGTTTCAAAAACGGTCACATTTTTGTGAAGTCCCGCCGCAAGTTTTCAAAGCGAGTCAGATCTGTGTGACGACAACCTCACAGCTGAAAACATCCTTGTTACAAGATACGGATCCGCTTCTCCCGTTAGGGTGCATCCTGCAAATTACTACCAAGCTTCACAGAAGAGAAAAGAACTAACAAAAGGGTTTTCTTCCAGCAGCAGCAGCAGCAGCAATGAGAATTGCATCCTAAATGGGTGATAAATGCGAGAATGTAATGTGAAAACCACAGGATGTATGGCTTCGACATGGCCTCCATAATCCTCCACTCCAGCTCATCTTCCCTTATCCATCTCGCGATCTCCATCCGCAAAGCCGTCTTGGCCGCTTCTTTAAATCGGTGAAGTGTAGCAGGAAAATGAAAGATTACAAAATGTATGGCTTCGACATGGCCTCCATGATTCTCCACTCCAGTTCGTCCTCCCTGATCCATCTCGCACTCTCCATCCGCAAAGCAGTGTTGGCCGCTTCCTTACGAGCATTTATCTTCCCCTCCCTTTCTTTGAACCGCGCTGCATTCATCACCTTCAGCTCTTGCTGCTCACAAAAACAACAAGACAGAATTAATCAAAGGTTGATTAATCAACAAGACGAAAGGTACACATGGTCTGGCATTGTGCATGAGAGAATGTTCCCACCACACCACACCACACCACACCACACCAGACCACACCACACCACGCCACACCATACCACGCCACACCATACCACACACCTCTTATCATTCATGACTTCGATCCCCCCTTCTTCCCTTCCTCTCCCTCCTCTTCCCCTCCCCATCGCTCTCCTCTCCCCCTCCCCCTCTCCGCCTCCCCCTCCCCCTCCCCCCTCATCCATTCTTCACCCTCCAATCCATCCCACCCATCCCACCCACCTTAGCCGCCCACAGACTCTCCTGCTCCTCCCTCGCTCTTGCCACACCACAACACACCCTCAACACACGCACAATACTTCCCCATCTCCCCCCTTCTCCCTCCCTCTCCCCCTCCCCATCGTTCCTTTCCATCCACCCATCCCACCCATCCCACCCATGCCACCCATCCGACCCACCTTAGCCGCCCGCAGACTCTCCTGCTCCTCCCTCGCCCGCGCCGCCCGGGCGGCCCGCGCCGCCAGCTTCTCCTCAGCGTGCGACTCCTTCTCACTCGCCGCCGCCTCTCTGCGCATCTGCTGCGCCTTCATTGCTGCTCGCCTCAGCTCCTGCTGCTCCCCCGCGTATGCCTTGCGGAGAGATGACACCTGGGCTTGGTAGTCTCGCTTGCGTTGCGCTAAGTCCTGGGTGGAGGAGGTGAGGTGAAATTCAGGGGGAGAGCAGGGACGGAGGTGAGTGCTGCGACGGCTCAAAGCCCTCCTTCAGCGCCGCCAGCTTCTCCTCAGCATGCGACTCCTTCTCACTCGCCGCCGCCTCCCTACGCATCTGCTGCGCCTTCAGCGCCGCCCGCCTCAGCTCCTGCTGCTCCTGCGCGTACGCCTTACGAAGGGAGGACACTTGGGCGTGGTAGTCCCGCTGCCTCTGGGCCAGGTCCTGGAAGGAGGAGGTGCAGCAGGAGAGAGTAGGAAGGAATGAGTATGCTGTGACAGTTAGAAACCTGCCTTCAGCGCCGCTCGCCGCAGCTCCTGCTGCTCCTGAGCGTATGCCTTGCGAAGGGAGGAAGCCTGGGCTTGGTAGTCCCGCTGCCGCTGGGCCAGGTCCTGGCGGGAGAAAGTGAGGTGAGGATCACGTGGGGAGCAGGGAAGGAGGTGAATGCTGTGCCTTCAGCGCCGCTCGCCGCAGCTCCTGCTGCTCCTGCGCGTTTGCCTCAAGGAGAGAGGACACCTGGGCCTGGTAGTCCCGCTGCCGCTGGGCCAGGTCCTGGGAGGGAGGAGGTGAGAAAGAGGATGCGGGAGAGAGGTGAGCTTCTGAGGATGCACCAGCAGCAGACAATCGTGACAAGATGCTTCTGAGCTGGTAGGTACAACTCATGGTCTACAGCCACGAGCAGTGAGGGAGGTTGCCTGGCACGGCACGGTAGCTTACCTCTGACGGAGTGCCTGATACAGGTGGGGAAGTGAAGGCCTTTGCGGAGGCCTGAGTGTTGAGTCAAAGACTCAAGAGTGGCTTACCCCTAGCGAACCACGGGATCCAGCTGTTTCAGTGGGAGCTTCTCAAGAGGCGGAAATGGTAGCGGAAGGAATTTTGCCGGCGAGTGTTGAGTCAAAGACTCAAGAGTGGCTTACCTCTAACATACCACGGGATTCGGCTGTTTCAGTGGGAGTTTCTGAAGAGGAGGACACGAAGGGGGGGTTAGGGGAGGTAACGTAGGGAACCCTGTAGGTGGGTGTTTAGATGAATCGACTCAAGAGTGACTTACCTCTAAGGGGCCGCGTGATGCAGCTGTTTCAGTAGGGGCTTCTGAAGAGGGAGAGGAGGTTGACGAGATATCCCTGCGGGAATAAACGCAGAGAGTAGAATGGACGGCGAGGGAAGGGCGGAGAAGGATGAGAGTTGACAGAGCGAGAGACGAGAGGCAATCAAGCAAGCGCATACAGAGAGAGGAGATGGTTGAAGGGAGGAGCGACGAGGTAAAGAAGGGAAGAGGAGGGCGAAGAGCGGGGAATGAGACTGGAGACGCAGAATAGAGGGGAAGTGAAGGGATGGGGGAAGAGGGGGAGGGAGAGGAGGGGGAGAGGGGGAGGGAGAGGAGGGGGAGAAGGGAGGGGAGGGAGGGGAGGGAGGGGAGGGAGGGGAGGGAGAGGGGCGACGAGGAATGTACCTTACGGGGCATGTCGAGGACGCGGGAGATGTAGCGACTCGCGAAATCGGAAAGCCGATTGCGAACGCCGCGAACGGCCATGTAACGGCTCGATCCGCCGCTCCGTGCGACCGGATGCGAGAGACGACGCGCGCAGCCATCTGTCGCAGGAACGATACTACGAGATTCAAAAGAGCAGAAGACAGGTGCGCCGGTCGGGAATTCTCAGATGTGAATCAGCTTTCTGAGCCAGTTCTAAGTCGTTCAACGGTCGTGAAAGCCACGACTGGTGGTGCTGCTGGTGGTAATGGTTGTGGTGATGTGGCGGCGCGGCAGAGCGCGTGGCGAAGGGAAACGATTGGGTGAGCGATCGCGGCGAAGAAGGGCGGATCGCGATAACGTTGGCCTTGGGATTGTCGCTTGGTCACGCGCGAGTGACTGGCCTGGCAGCAGCAACAAGAACCATTGTGGCGCGATGGGAGCTGAAGAAGCAGGAGGAGCTGGAGCGGGAGATGTCAGCCTAGACTGTATCGCGGATGACTCAGCACCCGGAGTGTGCATAAGCAATACAGTTACGTACTAACGAGCTTAGGAAAGGCTAAAACACTCTTGAAAATGGTTCAATTCAGTCCTATTTCCAATTTACATATGGTTTGATGCCCTGTACGAAGAATTTGCACATCTACATGAACTTGCGCTGCGGTCGGCCTTCCAGTTCCTCTTGCTTCCTCTGCATCAGCGCACATATTGCAAGCAATACAGCAATGAGTAAATGAATAACCTCGAAAACACTGTTCAAGTCAAGAAGACGATGCGCTGTGATATATCCCACCAGGTTGGGCCTGTGGAATGGAAGGAAGTGAATCCAATCAGCAGAGACGAAAAGACGACTGCTTGCAAAATGAAAGCAAACCCAGGCGAAATTCTAACCCTTGCTGCTGAGTAAGGGAAGGGAATCGTGGTTAATCATGGAATGGGGTGATTTGATAAGTGCATTGAGGGCAGCGAAGGAACAAGAGGGAGCATGGGGTAGAGAAACGAGGGTGGACATGCAGACAGACAGGCGGACAGGTGGACGAATGATACAAACGCAAAAGATGGAAAATGAAGCAATCAATGCGAACGCTGTGAGTGCACATGTTCAGTCCGATTCATCATCTAATGAATATAAACAGAATGAAGCCTGGCTGGCCGCATGCTTATGGAGCAAAGGAAGTCTATTTGGTGCATTACACCATATCCTCTCAAGAGAGTGGGTGCAACTATAAGACATCAGCACTTGCGAGCTTTATATTTTTCCTGAAGACAACTTTTGTTAGGCAAAACCAAGGTTTACCATGCAAAGCAGTGTGCGAGGGTCGAGAGAGCGCAGGTGGAGAGGAGGGTGAGAAGTGGTGGGGGGGGGGGGGGGGGGGAGGAGGGGGGAGATGGGGGGAGGGAAGGGGAGGGGAAGGGAGGGGGGAATGGAGGAGGAGAAAGGTACGCCCTGCCCTTCCCACCCTCCCCACCCACCAACCCTAATCAAATATAACGACATCACTAAAAAAAGCGGGTCTTACGAATTCTGCGATGGTGCCTCGGTACACGACAACGGGGAGGACGACGATTGCGAGCGCCGCGATCGAGAGCGTGCGACGGTTGAAGCGAAAGATCTTCTCGAGGTTCTCGCGCCGCGTACCCCAATCCTCGATGTACTTGTTCTTATGCACGTCGAGACCGCCCGCCATGGCTACGAGAATAGGTACGTGGTCGAGACTACACAGAGATAAGAAAGCAGCACGAGTGCGAGCACTGGCGAAAAAGCAACGCGAGGGTACGCAGAGACGCGAGCTTGCAGACGGAAGTGATGCTGTGTGCAGGCGAGGGAACGGGATCGGAAATGGCTGGTGCGATCGATGGGTACTGGGAGTTCTGGTGGGGCGTAGAGCTGGGAGATAGTGTCAGCGGAAGCGACGGCGGCGATGACGGAGAGCTGGTCGGCAGAATCTAGGGTCCACCGTGGCACCACAAGGTGCTAGCAGAGATATGCGATGGGTGGTTTACGATATGGTCGAGAGACTGCAGGAAAGCTGGTTCGCCAAACTAGTGCCTCATGACCTAATACTCGCTATAGGACTTCGGCGAGAAAAAAAAACACGTTTTTGTTACGAGTTGAAAACAAGAAGCACAAAACAATTTACAGTTTCGTAAAAACTGTTTTCTCCTTGGCGATGGATGCTAGTAGTGTACAGGCTAGTCATCCTCCTCCTTATTGTCTATCAACCCTCCACTTCCCCCTTCATCCCTCTCCACTCCACTTTCCTGCTGCCCTTCCTCCTCATCCCCCATAGTGAGCTTTTGCCTCTTCCACTTATAAGCAGCCTCCAGGATCTTGAGATTAGGTTGGTTAGCTGCCTCATCAGGGAAGATGTAGTCGTAATACTCCTCGAACCTGCCACACACACAAAACAGATGAAAAAGGCAAACAATGTTGAAACACGTATGAAATATGTATGTTTGTAGACGCTTCATGTGGGAAGATGTAGTCATAATACTCCTCGAACCTGCCATAGATGGACGGAATGGCACACTCGTCAGTTACCGTAGCAATAATGGGCGGCAAAGCACATAGAGAATGACATGAGGGGATAATGATAGCTGGGAAAATTATGAGTGCTCGTACAGTGAGGCCCCCATACACAGTATCATGTTGGACAAAGAGAAAAAAAGACAACCCTTATGAGTGCTTGCACATAACGAATTTGCACATAATGAGTATGCACGCACCCAGCAGGAGTGCCATCCTCCGTGGTGATTGGCCGCTTCCTCTTCACGCGACGTGGCATCTTCTTCTCGACCAATCCCGGGTCGCCATTCACGCCCGCCGCCCGCTCCATCTCCCGCCACGCCTCCAGCAGCATCACCCGCTCCTCCTTCTGGTCGGCGGCGTTCGTCCTCATGTGCTCAAACGCCCGCTCGTACACCTCTGAAAGGACGGGGCAGGCAGGGAAGAGAGAACACCAGGAAATCAGACATAGATCAGATTCAGCAGTCTTTTAATTCTACAAATTTCAGAAGCAACGAACTTGCGAGGATCAAATGCACCATAACCCACGCAGCGTACCCCCTGGTAACCCGGTCCTTGGACTGCTCTGCCAGCACCAGCTCGTCCGCCTCTCTGCGCTCCTCTGTTCACACTGCCCCCTTGTACCTGTAGCCCCCACCCTACACCCCACAATACAGAATACCCCAAACGCCGCACCACAGTACCTCTGGCCCTGGTGACCCGATCCTTGCACTGCTCTGCCAGCACCAGCTCATCCGCCTCTCTGCCCTCCTCCTCATGTGCTGACACTGTTGTCATTCCACACCCAACACCCCACACCCCACGTTACAATAGACACCACCGTACCTCTGGCCCTGGTAACCCGATCCTTGCACTGCTCTGCCAGCACCAGCTCGTCCGCCTCTCTGCCCTCCTCCTCCGCCTTGATCTCCTCTTCAACAGCCACCTGTGCCTCAAACTGCCCGTAGCTCATCCACACCTGTGGGAGATCGGAGGGAATGGGGGGCAGCAGGCAACAAAGGCGGGGAATCAGTGCTTGAACCCCCTGCCCTCCCAGCTCGTCCGCCTCTCTGCCCTCCTCCTCTGCTCGTATCTCCTCCTCAACAGCCACCTGCGCCTCAAACTGCCCGTAGCTCATCCACACCTGTGGGAGAAAGGCACGTCAAGGAGTAGAAAGGGGAGAAAGGCACGTCAAGGAGTGGTGTGGCGAGGTGTGTCTCTTGACGCGCTTGGTTCGCTCCAGCAGCCGCTCATGCAGCTGCCTTGTGCTTTTTTCTTAATATGTTGACGATGTACCAACAAGAAGCATTACACACCTTGACGTGCTTGGTTCGCTCCAGCAGCCGCTCATGCAGCTGCCAGCCAGCCTGCCGCGTGCGCTCATCCACGCGTGCCGCGTGTGTTACCTGGTTACCAGGTCTCACCTTTGATGTGGTTGGTTCGCTCCAGCAGCCTCTCATGCAGCTGCCAGCCTGCCGTGTGCGCTCATTCGAGCTTGTCATATGTCAATGTAAACACACTGCACAGATTAGGCTTGAGCAAGGTGGCGAACACCTGTTTTTGCCTAAACTGTTCGCCGAACCGAACAGTGTTCGGTTCGGCAAAAGGGCGTGTTCGAGAGGGGGCGAACACGAACATGTTCGTGTTCGCCCTTTGCTCATCCCTAGCACAGATGTTACCTGGTTACCAGCAAAAGCAAGAAAGGTAGCTCACCTTGACGCTCTCCAGCAGGCGCTCGTGCAGCTGCCTCGTGCACTCATCCGTGCTTACCATGTATGGCTACACAACACAGGTGTTACCTGGTTACCAGGTCTCACCTTGACATGCTTGGTCCTCTCCAGCAGGCGCTCATACAGCTGCCTTGTGCGCTCGCTCTCGCCCTCCGCAATCTCAAAGTCAATGTATGCCTGCATAGGACGAGATGCAATATGGTACAGGGAGGAGAGCAGAGGCAGTAGGGCGGAGAAGATCAGAAGAAGGAGAAATGAAACGTCTCAACACGTTCATGCGCTCGCTCTCCCCCTCCGCTATCTCAAAATCAATGTGCGCCTGCGATAGGACAGGGATGACGGGATGGAGGCAGCAGGACAGGTATTGAGTACTTGCACGTATTGAGACGTCTTAACACTTGTGTGCGCTCGCTCCCCCCCTCCGCTATCTCAAAATCAATGTGCGCCTTCAGAGGGGCAAGGCAGAAAAGCAGAGGCAGTAGGGCGGAGAAGATGGGAGGAAAGAGAATTGAAACAAGTTGATATTTCTCAACACATATGAGTTCCACAAACTCGGCAGCCCAGAGGTAGCTAGTAGCGGCTACCCTATCGCCAGCTCGTAAACCGCGTGGACCAAGGCGCGCGCGCGGACCAAGGCGCGCGCGCGGACCAAGGCGCGCGCGCGCGGACCAAGGCGCGCGCGCGGACCAAGGCGCGCGCGCGGACCAAGGCGCGCGCGCGCGGACCAAGGCGCGCGCGCGGACCAAGGCGCGCGCGCGCGGACCAAGGCGCGCGCGCGCGGACCAAGGCGCGCGCGCCCGCCTGCATGCACACACTACTGCAAGCCAGCCTCTAGAAGCGTGGCTGAGGAACAGCGTACCTTCCAGAGCAGCTCAGGAGTGTCCAAGAGAGGTTGTCCGATTGCCAGCTCGTACACCGCCCGCGCCCGCTCCGTCTCCCCCAGGCTGCGCTCCAGTTCTCATCCAAGGTCCATCTCCCAGGCACACCTTCATGCACATACTCATGTGCAAGCACACTCGCACACCCACCTTCCACAGCAGCTCAGGAGTATCAAGCAAGGGTTGCCCTATCGCCAGCTCGTAAACCGCCCGCGCCCGCTCCGTCTCCCCCAGGCTGCGCTCCAGCTCAGCAAACTTGGCCCACGCGGGACAGCTGGCGGGCTGCCATTGGAGGTACTTCTCGTACAGCATGCGGCAGCGGTCGATGTTGCCCAGCTGCAATTCCATCTCAATGTACGCTTTGAAGATCTGGGGGTCGGTATGGAGGGCACAGGCCATGGGAGGGTTGAGTTGAGGCAGGGAGGAGAGATAGACACGGGCTGGGCTGCCATAGGAGGTATTTCTCATAGACCATGCGACAGCGGTCGATGTTTCCTAGCTGCAGCTCCATCTCTATGTATGCTTTGAAGATCTGGGGGGGGGGGGGTGTGTAGGGTGGGTAAACAAGGGCCATGGGGGAGCGAGGGGGCCGTGGGGGAGAGAGCAGATGCCATTGGAGGCCCTTCTCGTACAGCATGCGGCTGCGGTTGATGTTGCCAAGCTGTAGCTCCATCTCAATGTACGCCTTGAAGACCTGGGGGTGTTGGCAGGCAGGCACAGGCCAGAGACATGTGCTGCCATTGGGAGGTACTTTCTCATAAGGGATGCTGCAGTGGTCGATGTTGCCCAGCTGTAGCTCCATTTCAATGTACGCCTTGAAGACCTGGGGGTCGGTATGGAGGGTGGGTGAAAACCGGCGGCAAGGGAGGTACTTCTCAATGTTTCCCAGCTGTAGCTCCATCTCTATGTATGCTTTGAAGATCTGGGGGTCGGTATGGAGGGTGGGTGAATAAGAGAGAGTGCAGCGGCGCAGTGGACGGGGAAAATGTGTTGCCATGGGATGGGAGGTACTTCTCGTACAGGATGCGGCAGTGGTCAATGTTTCCCAGCTGCACCTCCATCTCAATATACGCCTCGTACCTCATCATACCGTTTCATACCGTATCTGATCTCACATTATCCTTGGGAGCTACTCCGATCGCGTGCCCCAGGATCTGCCAGAGAGGCGCAGAGAGGCGCTTCTGGCGGATCTCAAACCCACGGCATTCAAGCATATCGTGCTATTATCACTTTTATATCGTATAAAATCCAATCTCACCTTATCCTTGGGAGCTACTCCAATGGCATGGCCCAGGATCTGCCGGACGGCGGAGAGGCGCTTCTGGAGGGTCCCATCCCAAACCCATGACATTCAAGCATATCGTGCTATTATCACTGGACCAAGGCATTCTATCACTTTTATATCGTATCCAATCTCACCTCCAATCTGGAGGGTCCCAAACCCATGACACTGAAGCATATCGCACCGCATATCACTCATATAGCGTATCTGATCTCACATTGACTTTCGGAGCCACGCCGATCGCGTGGCCCAGGATCTGCCGGGCGGCGGAGAGGCGCTTCTGGCGGATCTCAAACCTTCCAACCTTGCGGCCACACATCCGAACCCTACCTCACCTTATCTTATCGTTCCGCACCCCTGCCATACCTTATCCTTAGGAGCCACGCCAATCGCATGGCCCAGGATCTGCGGGGCATTCGAGGGGCGCTTCTGGCGGATCACACGCCCATGGCATTCAAGCAGATTGCGCTTCATATCACTTTTAGAGCATATTCGATCGCACCTTATCCTTAGGAGCCACGCCAATCGCGTGGCCCAGGATCTGCCGGGCGGCGGAGAGGCGCTTCTGGCGGATCTCAAACTGGGCGGCGAGCAGCCAGATCTTCGCGAATGAGAACTTGCCATGTGGAAACAGCTTCAGGCACTCCCGATACACCTCCCTCGTCCTCTCCATGTCCCCCGCCTCCAGCTCCTCATACAGAGCGTAGTTGATCCTGGTTCGGGGGGGGGGAGGTGGTAGGAAGGAAAGGAGAGGGAGGATGTGGTGCAGGTGGGTGGTAATGATGGGGCCACTCCCGGTACACCTCCCTCCCGCGTCCTCTCCATGCCCCCCGCTTCCAGCTCCTCATACAGAGCGTAGTTGATCCTGGTGGGGTTGAGTGTATCGGAGGGGGGAAAGGAGAGAGGGCAAGTGGTGACTTGCCATGTGGAATCAGCTTCAGGCACTCCCGGTACACCTCCCTCCTTCGTCCTTTCCATGTCCGCTGCTTCCAGCTCTTCATATAAAGCATAGTTGATCCTGGTGTGCGTGAAGGGTTGTGGGGTGGTGTTTTGGTGGTGGTCGGGGCAGGAGGAGAAGGGCATTTTTGAATTAAGAGCCATCCCTTTACCTCATCAGATATAGATGTATCGCACTGAGTCGATTCAGCTCACCAGACGTAGATCCGCTTCTCATCAGCCGCGGCCACGTTCGCAATCGCTCTCTCATACACCTGCTCCGCACCCGCTCTGCCCCAAGAACCATTTCACCAGCTCACTAGAGATAGACGCACCACACTGCATGGCATTCAGCTCACCAGAGGTAGATGTATCGCTGCCAGAAGCGCTTCTCATCAGCCGGAGGGACATTCGCAATGGCCCGTTCATACACCTCTCGCACGCGCTCCGTCTCCCCCCCCCACGCTCTCCTCCAACCTCACATAGACGTCTTGCATGGCACGGCACTGCATACAGCTCACCAGAGGTAGATGTATCGCTGCCAAAAACGCTTCTCATCAGCCGGAGGCACGTTGGCAATCGCCCGCTCGTACACCTCCCGCACCCGCTCCGCCTCCCCCACACTCTCCTCCAGCCGAACAAAGAGGTAGATGCATGGCACTGCATTCATATCGGCTCACCAGAGGTAGATGCTTCCATCCCATCCCACCCTATCAACTCACCAGAGGTAGATGTATCGCTGCCAGAAGCGCTTCTCGTCAGCAGGTGGCACGTTGGCAATCGCCCGCTCGTACACCTCCCGCACGCGCTCCGCCTCCCCCACGCTCTCCTCCAACCTCACATAGTCAAACCACGCGTCGTAGTTCCGCGGATTCCTCTTCACCTCCTCCTCATACTCAACCCGCCTCTTCCCCACCCCGCCATTACGCCTTATGCCCCAGGCCAATCCCCACTGCACTGGATTCTACTCACCAGAGGTAGATGTATCGCTGCCAGAACCTCTTCTCGTCAGGAGGAGGGACATTCGCGATGGCCCGTTCATACACCTCCCGCACGCGCTCCGCCTCCCCCACACTCTCCTCCAACCTCACATAGTCAAACCACGCGTCGTAGTTCCGCGGATTTCTCTTCACCTCCTCCTCATACTCAACCCGCCTCTGCCTATTCTCCACCCCGCATTACGTCTTACATCCAACCCGGTCCACACTGCATGCATTAAGCTCACCAGAGGTAGATGTATCGTTGCCAAAAGCGCTTCTCATCCGCCGGCGGGACATTCGCGATCGCCCGTTCATACACCTCCCGCACCCGCTCCGCCTCCCCCACGCTCTCCTCCAACCTCACATAGTCAAACCACGCGTCGTAGTTCCGCGGATTCCTCTTCACCTCCTCCTCATACTCAAACCTCCTCTTCCCCACCACCACATCCTCTATCCCTGCCCGATCCCCGTGCTGCTTCTCGAAAACCACGAATTTTTTATACAGGGATTCGGCCTGGGCTTTCGGAACGTGGTCGAGGGCATATTTGTAAATCGCCCTCGCCCGCTCGGTCTCTTTGCATATCCGCTCCTCAAACTCCGCAAACGCGACGAAAAGTTCCTCGTTCTGCCCGTCCTCGCCGAGAATTTCAACTGCCCGCTCGTAGACCTCCCGGGCGCGCGAAATCTCCCCTTGCTTCACCTCAAATTTCGCGAAACGGATCCACGCTTTCACCGTTGGAATGCACATGGTGTAACGTTCGAACACGGCCCGAGCGCGCGCAATCTCGCCGTATCGAAGCTCGAATTTGATGTAGGCGGACCAGCCGTGGTGGTCGGGTTCCCATTTCATCCACCTCTCCAGCACCTGTCGCGCCCCTGCCACGTTCCCCAACATCTCCTCCATGTGTATGTACTTGTACCTGAAAAGGGGGGGAAGGAGGGGTGGTGGGGTGGGGGAGGGGGCATGGGGGACAAAGCGAGGGGATGGGGGAACAAGGAAGTATTGGGAGCACGAAGCAGCCCCTGCCACGTTCCCCAACATCTCCTCCATGTGTATGTACTTGTACCTGAAAGGGGGGGTGAAAACAGGGGAGGGGGGTGGTGGAACGGGTACTGGGAAAGAGGGAGAGGATTGGGAGCAGCCGTGGTGGTCGGGTTCCCATTTCATCCACCGCTCCAGCACCTGTCGCGCCCCTGCCACGTTCCCCAACATCTCCTCCATGTGAATGTACTTGTACCTTGGGGGGGAGGGGAGGAGGGGAGAGAGGAATGGGAACAGGGGACGCAGGAAGGGAGAAGGGGAAAGGGCGGAGGGGTAAAGGAGGAGCACCTGCCGCGCCCCTGCCACGTTCCCCAACATCTCCTCCATGTGTATGTACTTGTACCTGAAAGTTGGGAAGAGGGGTTGTTGGAAAAGGGATGTTGAGGGGTGTTATGAGAGGTGAGGACGAGGGACCTGATTGCAAGACGGGGGGAGGACAGGGAAAGGTGACGTCTTCAAACGACTTCAAACAGGTACGTATGCTACGGCATTTACCGGCTCAAGCCAGCCCACACTCACCGTAGCTGGTCGACGCGGGGCATGTTTTGAGTCGACCCAAAACTCTATGCGGTGCGGAGCAGCAGCCACACTGACTCAAAACTCGATGCGGAGCAGCAGCCAGCCACACTGCTTAATCCCACACATTCCGCGCATGGCGTGGTGCTGCGATGTACCATGAAAGAAATCTATTCACTGGCTGGCTCGCTCCAGCCCACACGTTCCGCGCATGATGCTGTGCGGTGCTGTGCTGTGCGGTGCTGTGCTGTGCTGTGCTGTGATGTGTCGTGATGCTACAGCAGAGAAGTCACAGGCCATCCCACACTCACCAGAGCTGGTCGATATGGGGCAGCAGCGACACTGCTCTGTCCCACACGTTCCGCGCATGGTGTTGTGCGGTGCGGTGCGGTGCTGTGCTGTGATGTGATGTGATGTGCTGACTGGCTCTCTCCATCCTTGACTCACCAAAGCTGGTCAATGCGAGGCAGCAGCGACACCGCGCGGTCCCACACGTTCCGTGCATGGTTGACAAAGCGGTTGCGCATCTCCATGTCCGCGTATTTCAGCCATATGGACACGTTCCTGAAGGGGAGGGGAGGGTAAGGAGAGAAGTGTTTTGGTGGGGTGCCTCGCTGCATGCTTACTCTCAAAGCGGTTGCGCATCTCCATGTCCGCGTATTTCAGCCATATGGACACGTTCCTGTGGGGAAGGGACGGGGGAAAAGGAAATAAGGAGCACTGGTGAGATGCATCAGAGCAGGCCTCCCCCTATAGTGGTTGCGCATTTCCATGTCCGCGTACTTGAGCCATATGGACACGTTCCTTTGGGGGGGAGGGAGGGGGGAAAAGGAAATAAGGAGCACTGGTGAGATGCATCAGAGCAGGCCTCCCCCTGTAGTGGTTGCGCATTTCCATGTCCGCGTACTTGAGCCATATGGACACGTTCCTTTGGGGGGGAGGGGGGGGGAAGGGAGAACAGGGCAATGCATCAGTGCATGCTTGCTCTTAAAGTGGTTGCGCATCTCCATATCAATGTACTTGAGCCATATGGACACGTTCCTGGGGGGGAGGGAGGGGGGAAAAGGAGAAAGGAGCAGTGGTGCATCAGAGCATGCCTCCCCCTATAGTGGTTGCGCATTTCCATGTCCGCGTACTTGAGCCATATGGACACGTTCCTTTGGGGGGAGAGGGGGGGAGGGAGCAGACAGAGGGGAAGAAGGGGAATGAAGCGCACTGGTGGGGTGCCACGTTCCGCGCTTGCTTGACTAAGTGGTTGCGCATCTCCATGTCCGCGTACTTGAGCCATATGGACACGTTCCTTTGGGGGGAGGGGAGGGGAGAGAAGGGGAGGGTAAGGAGAGAAGTGATTTAATGGGGTGCCTCGCCGCTTCCTTGCGCTCAAAGCGGTTCAGCATCTCCATGTCCGCGTATTTCAGCCATATGGACAGGTTCCTGAGATCTCAAACCCTAAGAAAGGGGAGGACGGGGACGGGAAGGTGGGAGAAGACAGGGAGCAGTTGCTAATTCACACGTCCGCGTACTTTAGCCATATGGACACGTTCCTGGGGGACACTCACCTACAATCACACTCATCTATAGACACACTCACCTACAATCACACTCACCTATAGTCCACCTCCAGCGCGCGCTCCCACACGGATCGCGCGCGCGCGAAGTCCTTCTGGCTCATCTCCCACGTGGCGTATTTGACCCATACGCTCGTGTTCCACCGAACCCGCCGAATCAAATCTTCAAACTCCTTGCGCTTCCTTAATCGGTACTCCCCGAGCTCCTGCACGTCGGTGATTTTCTGCTTCGGCGCCGCGGTTTCTACCTCCTGCCGCTCGCGCGCCTCGCGGAGGATTTGCTCCGCGGTGATCTGGACCGGCGCGGGAGTTTTGTTCTTCACGCGCGTCGCCCGCGGAAGGCGGATCTCCGACTCGCGCTTCGTCATGTACGCGAGCCGCGCGTCGGCTTCCTTGGAAGCCATGGCGGCGAGATTCCGAAAAAAATAACGACTACGAATTCAACGTTGTGGCAATTAGGGTTTGGCGACGCGGCTCGTGATGCAACGGAAGGCGATATATGTCGACCGAGAGGAATGCGAAACTCGAGGACGAGCTGAAGTCTGCCTAGCGGAACGGATAAGGTAGAATGGGCCTTCACTTGTAAGATCGGAGTTACCTAGGCTGGAGAAAGCACGACCAAAATACCTAAAACAAACACTGGCGACTAACTTGAAGAGGCGAGAGTTGCGAGGGCCAAGGCCTTGCGAGAGAGGATTGAAAGGCTGGTCGGTTGGTAACAGAGGGTTCGCGGCCAGTGGCGAATTTGGGGAAAATTTGGTAACCAGAACCAGCAAACCATAATTGAGGTCCACTGTGAAACACTACGCTCGTGTTTTCAGATAAGATTCATATTCCTGTGATTATGGTCAGGTCGGAAGGAAATTGCAAATTCAAGTACCTACACCCAGATCCATCCAGAGAATATATAAGGGGCATTCAGCAAATAGGTAGGAAATATTAATATAATGCTTACAAATCTCAAGCATGACAATTGCAGACACAAGATGCCCCTATCGTATACACCACCAGCAGATGGACTCCCTAGAAGCTTCTCCCAACATGGAAAAAGCAGAAGGGTCCTGCCAACCAAGTCAATCACTGGTGGCCACATCCTGGGGCATTAATTATTTACATCACAAAAGCATAAATAAACACAAACTATATGGCTCACATGTACCCGGCTCACAGATTACGGTAGCAGCCATTTTTTGCTGCATCTGTGGCTCTCATTCCATGGTCGACGGAAGACGAATGGGGCGGGGTGATAGATGAAGGTTGAATGATGGGGCCTGTGAGTAGAACTTTGGACCCATGATCATCAGGAATGGTGATGATCGTTTAACAGTCTGATGATGATCCGAGCAGCGTCGATGCAGTGAATAGTCGCAAGCGCGAGCGTAGTGGCACGGGGCGGGCGCTCATGCGCAGAGCGAATGGTGGCAATATCGCACTCCAGCTCCGCGAGGCACTGCTCCGCGCGCTCCTTCCTGGCGCACCACGCCCCCCCCCGGCCCCCCACCACGCCGTGCTGCGGGTGGTGCAGCAGCGCGCGGAGCCCCACACGAACACTTTTCAGCATCGTCACGCCAGCGGCGGCGAGGGATTCGCCGGAGACGAGGGCGTCCTGGCTGTGGTCAACGCCGTCAACGGGGTCAACGCGAGCGACGCCCGACGTGGCGGTTTGGACGTGCTGCAGCATGCGAGCGTAGGATTGGAGGAAGAGCGCCATGGCTGTGTGCGACGGGAAGACCGGAGTCGGTGGGAGTGACGTGAAGGGGTAAAAATCAGGCGCTTCCGCAGCGACATTGTCTTTGGTGTAGGAATTCTTGCAACGCCTGCATCCTGGGGCATCGTCGTTGGCGGGGGTAGCAAGGCTGGGAGATGCCGTCACAGAGGTGGCCGCATCTGCGGGAACGGATGACGGAAAATGAAAGAGAGAGAAGAAGAAAAAAACGAGAACACTTGTGAGATTGACGACGTGGAAAACGAAAAGAAGAGGAAACATCAAGAGCATCTTGAGGCCACGCCCTTCGCAACATTGTGAGAAAGAGAAGTGAGAGCAGAACGAATTCCGGGCGAATAAAAGGACTGCAAGATAATCTAAATGGCAAGACTCTTTCAAAAACGTAAGACGGGACCTACCTGAAACTTTCGCGGGGATCTGTGAGGTGGTGACGTTGGCGATAACATGATGAGGAGCTTCAGCACGGACCGACGCGAGGCGAACGCCCGTCGTCACGACGGTAGATGGAGCTCGGCGCGCTGGGATCTTGCCAAAATCAGGGGTGAAACTCGGAGACGCGACGGCGGCGCCAGTGAGAAACACGTTAGCCATGGCAGGATTGGGACGAAATCCGGATGACGGGAAACTGGGTCTTCTGAACACCAACTCGAACTTGTGACCCGCAAAAGGCGGCAACAGGCTTGTTAGCTCCTTGATCGACAGCGGAGTAGATTTAGAAATGGTTGTTGACTGATTTGCGAGTGAGGGGTGGTAGGAGCGTAAGCAATTTATGCTTCGGGATTTCGATGGTACTGTAGGAAATGACAGTGCAACCGTGCATTTGAGGCGCTATTGTGGGTTGGTCTAGGTTAGGCTAGTTACAGAACGTTTTTAAAGGGTTCAGTTGAGTGAATGAGAGAAACATTTGACGCCATACAATCCCAAGCCGCATGCACACATTCAGAGCGCTTCGGCTCTCATCTCCATGGCGCATCTCCCCGTTTTGCGCCTCACTCGCTCCTCGCCTCCATCCAGCGAACCTACCAAGCGGAGGGGATGGCGGTGGCGGAACGCGGAAATTTGAAAAGCGGAGGCGGACATTCGCTACTCCGTAACGAATACACGTGTACATGTATTGTCGCGACGGAGCAGCATACAGGCTGGCGACGACGATGACCAACCGCGACGACTGCCCCATCTTTTTGGAGCCAAGAACGTGCTTAGAAGCTTCTGCTGAGGAGAGAGACCCAGCGCTAGACAACTGAGCAACTGAGAGCTCCAGACGACGCTATGGAGAACTGTTAGGGCAGGTGACAATACTGTAAGGCATCGAGTGCTGCGGATTAAAGATATGGTGGGAATGAAGTGTGGCCAGCCCCCAATCAATTCTGTAGGTTCGTTATGAGTACCGGAAATATGTTGCAGATTTATCCAAGTACTAGCCATCAGTGGTTGCTACAACACCCTGACCTGACTCTACCTAGATTTTCCCATAAGGTTTGGGTGAACCCTGACAAAGAAAGAGAGACCATTGGCTTGCAGAGGCCCATCCTGTACGGTGTTCCATGTCATGAGACTGCACTCGGAAACAACTGTTCGACTGCTGGGCTGACAATGTGAGCTGGATCAAGCTGGTTGGCTGTGTGATCGTGATTCGAGGATTGGTGGTTCACCAAATCGCTTTCCCGTGAAAAGAGCATCTAGGTCGTGGTGTATGAGACGTGTGACGTGTAACACCGAAAGTTTCGTGGTTCCTCCTCCAAGGGCTCTGCGCCGCTGGAGGGTCTCAAGTCAGCAGATGCAGTACAGTACACAGAAAAATGGCCAATGAAAGTTGCTCAACCCATCAACAATCTGACTGAGGCCCATCGCATCGCATGACTTACACAGTGCGTGCGACCCGCTCCAGCTTTGAAACAGATGGCAGAAAGTTACAGTACGACGTGCTGACTGGAGCACAGCTGCGACGTGAAATCATTTCTCAGGAAGTTGCTCGTTTTCCCTGGAACCGTACGACTTTACAGCCAGCTGGCGGTAGCAAGTTGGCGGGCGCGTGCGCTTTGTATCCCTCCCCTCACCCCCGAACCACCCCGATTCGAACCTCCCCATGGATATATGAACGCCCCCGCGGGTGCCGCCCCCCCCCCCCCCCCTCCAGGACGAGCCAGGACGAGGTTTCCGTTTTTTACAGCCAAAATTATCGGCGAACTAGCTCTGCCCGACGAGCCAGGACGAGCTTTCATATATCTCGCAGTTATATGATTCGCGAGAGCGACGAATTCAAAAAAAAAAACGGTGTTACATCGTCTAGCCGTCAGATAGGAGCACGAGCGTCGCGCAGACGGTTCGCAACCTAAACGACGGTAACGCAGCCGTCGAACCCGTGAACTGCAAAGGTACAGTGTATTTATAGCTGCAATTCTTAGAATCCAAATAAATGACTTAAACCTTCAAAGAAGTGGATACAGAAGCTCATGAAATGCGTGCAGATTAGGTGCGATTATCAGTTGATCTTTTATTCATTTAAATGGCTCATACTAACTTAATATGACCTCCTATATCTGAAACATTGCATTTCAGACACTTTAAATAGGTTAATATCATGAATGAGCATTGTGTTTACTACCTATTTGATTGCTTCCCGTGTTGTCACCTGGTTGAATTTTTCACCTGTTTGTTTGTTTCCTGGTCCCCCATGGTCTACTGAACCTAATGGCAAGTTTTCGTTTTACTGGCCAACATTCACTTCTTTACTACTTTGTTCTTACAACACATGAACCTTGTATAACATGCAATGTCAGTTTTGTCAGAAAGAACGAAACAGGAATGATTGAACTAGCACAAAGTTGGGTACAAGTAGGAAACCCTAAGTTTGTGTACCCCTTAAGGCTAAACCCACTATAGCCTACACAATGTAAACATACAATGTTTGACACACCCCCATAGGCGAAGTGGGAGACAACCAGAGGGTCACAAGACCAGTCAAAGCAAAGCAAAGCAAAGCAAAGCTCAGGGTGGATCTCAAGGATACCACACAAATTCCGAGCACAAGCAAGTGGTCACAAGACCAGTTCACATGCAGTTTGATAATAGAACAAGAGGTACAGTGATCACAACCTAGCAAGTGAAAGCATGCAGGTATATATATAGACATCACAGTACAAGCAGAGTCAAGAAGTGAGCAAGTGAGGGAGAGTAGGCACAAGGCCTAGAACAGTACAGAAACGCTGATGGTCACAAGGCTGAAGCGCCTTGGTGAACACATCAGCAGTGTTGGCCCGAGTGGCCACGTAATGCAGACGAAGCTGACCATGCTGCTGCAGCTCTCGAGCAAGGAAGTAGCGCAGAGCGATGTGCTTCGTTCTGTGCTCCAGTCTGTGCTCCTCACACAAGGCAATCGCTGCCTTGTTGTCGACGTACAGCACTGGAGGAGAACGAGGCCGCTCTCCGAGGTCGGTCAGCAGGTAGGTGAGCCAGCGTAGCTCCTGGGCAGCCATGGCTGTGGCGTAGATCTCAGCCTCACAACTGGAGCTGAGAACAGAGGAAGAGCGTGTAGAACGCCAGGAAACAGAGCCAGAGCCAAGGCTGAAGGTGTAACCCTGAGACGACCGCTGCGTAGCCTGGTCGTCAGCCCAAGAAGCGTCTGAGTGTCCAGTGAGGACAACGTCGCGCCGTCCTCCAAGCACAAGCCCCATGCCCGACGTACTGCACAAGTAGCGCAACACCCTCTTAGCGGCATCCATGTGCTCCTTCCGGTGACGGCCAGGAGCGACATAGCGTGCTAGGATGCTAAGAGGGTAGGCTAGGTCAGGTCGAGTGCAGGTCATCAGGTACATGAGGCAGCCCACAAGCTCTGGATACGGGCCACTCGGCTCTACGGACTCATCCGAAGGCAGAGCTGAGAGCGAGTGACCGGTAGGCAGAGGAGTGGGCTGAGGCGAGGAGTACGTGAAGCGGAAGCGCTGAAGGACCTGCTGCACCATGTGTGACTGAGTCAAGGTGATGGTGCGCTGTGCTCTGTCCCGGGTGATCCGCAAGCCAAGATAGCTTGTCAGCTCACCCAGGTCTGTGCACGTGTGTCTCTTCTGCAGCTCCGACTTCACGTGGGCGAGTGCCTCAGTGTCAGCAGTAGCAAAGACCAAGTCGTCTACATACACGAGAACGTAGAACGGCGGCAGAGTGGTGTCGGTGCGTAGAAACAGCGACGGGTCAGCAGTAGAAGGAGCAAACCCAAGAGCAGCAAGAGTAGTCCTCAGTGTGTCGTGCCACTCACGGGGCGCCTGGCGGAGACCGTAGACCGGCCGCCGGAGGCTCCACTGGGTACCAGGAGGGAACGACCCAGTGAAGCCAGGTGGGCGGCGCAGCCAGATCTCCTCGTGCAGGGTGCCCTGTAGGAACGCAGTGCTGAAGTCAAGGCAGTGGAGCTCGTAGTCACGCTGAGCGGCGACGTGCAGCAGAACCCGAAGAGTGGTCATCTTCGGGGTCGGGGAGAAGGTCTGGAAGAAGTCAACTCCCTCTCGCTGACTGAAGCCTCGTGCAACGTAACGCGCCTTGAAGGCAGGCGGAGAACCCGGCGGCCGCTTCACCCTGAAAATCCACATGCCACTGACGATGTTCGCCCCAGGTGGGGGAACCTCGTCGACGTAGGTGCCTGTGGACTTCCAGGAAGCCATCTCTGCGTCCATGGCTGTCTGCCACTGAGAGGAGTACCCACCCTCCATCGCCTCTGCGTAGGAGCGTGGGGTCGGGATGTCTGGTGCATCCGGGTCTCCCTCAGGGGCAATCAGCATGGACACGAGATGAGGTAAAGCAGCAGCAAAGCACTCAAACTCCTCCTGTCTGTCCTCAAGGACGTCCGTGCCAAGAGCACACTCACCCCCGACGGACGGAGGACAGACAGACTCAGACTCAGACTCAGCAACAAGGCTAGCGGCGTAGTCTAGACGACAGGCTGCAGCAAAGTCAACAAGCTCAGCGACCAGAGCAGACGCAGTAAAGGACTCAAAGGTAGGGTCAGTGACAACAGTGGCAAGGAGACGCGCGACAGTAGGACTGGCAGCACGAGTAAGGTCTGACGGCGGGTCGGCAACGTCAGGAAGAGAGGACGAAGGAGGAGACGGCAGAGGGACGCGCTGTGGAGCAGTGGAAGGACGCAGGGTCATATAGTGAGTGCCAAGGACAGGAGGAGGACGCTGACGCGGAGCACGACGACCAGTGCGGGCAGTGCGGACAGGCGACTCTGGACGAGACTCAGAAGACGCAGGACTGGACTCAGGCGACGGAGGACGAGA